ACCGGACTGGAAAGCCGCCTGGGCGTCTGCCTGAGCGTAGAATTCGACAAACACCGAAGAAACCAATTTGGCTTCGCCCGCACGGTGCTTGGCCTGAAGCTCCTCAATCTCAGGCGTGAGACGCTCGATCTCCGCTCTTGCCCAGTTGATCGTGTCCACTTTCTTGCCGATGAGAAGCTTGAGCCGGTGAGTAGGACGGTCCGAAGGCTTAACCCAGCGGGCTGCGATAGAGCCAGACTCTCCGTCCGACTCCTCGCCCGCAGCATCTCCAGAGATGGGGCCGTCTTCCACGTTCCCTTGCTTCTTGAGGGCCTTGAGACGAGCAGCATTTGCCAATTTGACCAGCTTCGTTTCCGCACCCTCTAGCTTCATCGCCGCGTCGTCGCGCGCAGACACCTTTTCTTCCAATTCGCTGGTATCGGTTGTCAACCAAACGTTCTTGACCTTGTTGACGCCGAACATCCGACGGATCTTGTCGCGATCAAGGTAGTCCTCCGTGACGGCAGAAAAAAGCACGGTACGCGAAGACAAACGACTGGCGTAAGCAGGAGAAAGAGCGTAAGCCTGGCGCAAGTTGATATAAAAGAGACTTTCGCGAGTGATTGTGAAGAACACAAAACCTAAGCAGATTGGGAGTTAGAATGAATCATTGGCATGTCTGGCGCAGTCTCATGCTGCACTCACCGATGAAAATCCATGCGACAAAGCAATGCGCAAAGTAACGTCCATAATTGTTCGAAGCGACGTTCGACATGCTCAGGATATCCAACTGCTCCTTTCCAGCACCGCCGGTTCCGTTGACCGGCAGCAAAATGGGGAACGTGATACAGCAGCCCACGAAGCAGATCATAGAAACAGTCTTCAAGAACCGGAGCAAGAGGTACGCATCCATCGAGTGGTGTTGCAAAACGTACTCGTCGGGTAATTGGTACATGTGTTTGATCCAGTTCCACAATCCGGTCGGCGACGCAGGTGTCCGTTCAGATGGTCGCAAGACGCCTACATAGGTTCGCGGCATGTACATGCGACGCTCACGGCGACGCAGAATGATGAAGATGGACACCATGGCGACGGCCGCCAGCAAGGATGGCACCAAGGTGGTGACCAGGCCCGAAGCCGAACTGGAGGCATTTTGAGGATTGTCGGTGCTCTGAAAGGAGGTTAACCACGTTCATTCTCTGTGTAGGAAAAGCGATACGCGATATCGCGAAGTTCGAGAAAACATACTCGCCCGCCTAAATGACGGAGGCCTAAAAGGCCTGCATCGGTGATGGCCATGATGCCCCCCTATTAGAGCGCAGTGGGGCGATCGCAATCACACCCGACAGTGGAAGGCCGCGTGTACTGAGGGTTGGAAGTAGGCTAACACAGGGTCTTCTTCGCTTGATGTATTGAAACGATCCTGAATAGAGATGGATCGCAAAATGAGAGGGGATGAAAGCGAGGGAAGAGATGATGAAAAGAAGGAAGATTGGGGGAGGGGGACGGCCGACAGTATTTGTTTGAAGGAGGGGACAAAGTAAAATGAGATAGACTCAAGGAACCCGAAGCTTAGCGATAGGGGGAGCCACTTCAACACACGCTTTTTTGCGCTGAATTTTTTCTCTTTCCCCGCTCAAGTCGGATCATTCGAGTTTGGACGTAAGGAAAAACACAAAAACAATCAATGAACAAGCTGTTACTCAGTAGTAGCACGCTTAACGCATTCCAATTGGTTCTCTAAGAATGAAGAAATTGCTTAGTTCTCGCGCACAGATTTCGGTACCGCCGACCGTGGAGGTAGTTAACTAATAGTTTATTTGTTAAGAGTATAGTCGACGAAGAGGCCGGCCTGCAAGGCATTCGATGGGCTAAAAGTGAAAAAGATATGATCATGAAGCTGGAGACTAAACCAGCTTTAGCAGGCGCTGTGATTGTCCCTCTCCACCGAGCAGTCAAAAGCGAGTGAGGAGCACAACCAGCGATCGCGCAGACATGGATCACAGAAAGTCGATGACGCTGGCCGCTGGGGTTTCCAAGGGGATTTTGACTTTTGGTCCTGAGCAAACTACTACAGCGTGGTACACGTAGTGGCGAATGCCGATCATCTCCAGCCTTTCAGCTCGTTCAGCCACACCTCGTCATGATGAGACCAAGCCAAGAGCACAGTTAAAGAATCACCCGATGTCAGATACGGAGCAGCTGTGATGTGATTCGTATGTGTTGCAGGAGAATTCATGTCGTCTTGGGTTGCACCCAACACTGCGGCTGCCCACCTCCAGGCTGCAGAACACTGCAAACAGATTATTGAGCGGGCCCTCCTCGTCCTGACCACTCGGTAACTAGTACGGAGTAGCTTGTCACAAGAAAAAGAATTCCGAGGCAAGTGGATGAGTTGCTTCCAATAGATCGCCCCTAGCGTGCCGCCTGGTGCGGTGTTAGCTTGTCTAGCCTGTCTCGTTTGATTGTTGGGTTGGATGACTTAGGCGCGAGAAGTAAATTGGACCCGTGAATACTGAGTACAAAGCCTAAGAAAAACCCAAAAACCCAGTTGTAAAAAAAAAAAGGGGGGGGGGGGGGGGGAGCCCCGAGAATGGAAGATGGAACAGATGGAACCATGGTGGCGAACCATCTGCAACTTTGGGTCAAGAATTCCGATCGCTGGTCTGGTAAAATGCAAGCTAGACTCGATCTGGTATTTAGTCCCCTGGTCCACGGTAGCTCTCCACCTGCACCGCCCCCTCACGGTCCTTTCACTGTGGCTGGTGAGCCACGCTACAGAGTGCAAATGCACTGCGTGTGCTGTAGCACGATGCGGACTTGTCTGTCGATGCTCTGTCGATGCGGACTTGTCGTGACAGACAAGTCCGTCTATACCATGTGATGAGCTTGCACTACCACGTTAGCCCTATTGCCATACCTTATGGGAAGTCAATTTCCACAAGTGAGTGGCTGGAAGGGGACGGTTTTGTTCGGGGGTACGGAGTACTCCATAGCAACTTGGAACATAAAGTAGCTCCTCAGCCACAGTTCTGCCGTGCGCTTGACACAGACCGATTGTTTCATCCGATCGAGGAGTCAGGAGTGAAGAGGTTGAGTCTATGATCCAACCAGTCCTCGATATGATCCTACGATGATCCGATCGGACCCGGGGAGGACATCGCGCTGAATTAAGCATGATGAGCAGCAGGCCGCGTACGGGCCACCATGCAACAAATGCTAACCCCCAAAATCTACCTCGATCTCGCCACCACCAACGCACATCCTGTCAATCCTGGTCAATGCTAGCTTGGGGCTGCTCCCGTGGCTAGCAGGGACAACGTGTCCGTCGAGATAATGTCGATGTCAACTGTCAAAGAACCGGCCCACCATGATGGGTAGATTACCTTCCCGGGTCAAATGATATCAGTTCTAACTATCGGTTTGATCGCAGACTTTCAGCTGCCGTGCTTGGGCCTCCAACCTCCGACATTTCTTGTCACCAGTTAAACAGATCCTAACCTCCCGCCAGATTGCTAGGATCTTTATCGCTCAAGTCTAGGCCTTGAAGGGCCCCGCCTGTATTGTCGCACACAGCAGAGCAAGACAGAGCTACGGAGTAGACCGCCAGCTTTTCCTGTTTAGTAGCGCACCTTGGCCTGCGCAAGTGCAAGACGTTCAAAGCTGTCAACAAACTTCCCAACAACAAACTTCCTCCGAAGGGCCTAGATAATGCACGGACGAGGGTGGGACATGTGGCGAGAAACTTTCTTTGCTCCATGGCAGATGTCACGCGGAATTGTAGGGATTTTTTCTTGTCCCTCTTCTCCGTCAATTCTTGATTGTTTTCTTCGTCTCCGGGCTTCGTTCTTGTCGGCCTGGGAAAACCTAGTAGCCGCAGTTGTCCTCCAATATCGTCTGGGGCACCGTAATCAATGCGTTGAAATTTAGTGCCAAGATTATCCTTTAGGTCAAAGGTCGAGGAACGGTCGCACATCCACCTGAACCTCGTGTCGGATTGTTCTGTTTACCTTTTTTTTCTGTTTTCACAATTCGCCGGCTTCATTGATCCATGCGAAACCCAGGCTTTGCTTGCTTGCCGTTGTATGGTCGCGCTAACTGGTCCTTTCATGGAGCTGCTGGGCATCATTTCGAGTACTGTACAGTACATATAGCACTGTCTCTGGCTGTGACCAGTTTCCAGTGCCTTGCGCCAGCCGTTCAAAAAGACCCCGCCCTTGCTTAGCTGAACGTGAAGTCGTCCTAGGCGATAGTTCACGTATATGTGATAGGATCAAGAACGACCATAGGGGTCGAGTCGTCATCCCACGCTTCCAATATACATATGTAGCAGTCCGACTGCGACTGTAAGAGCTGTGGGATGCAACAGTGGACAATGAGCCCGTCCTAGATAGGAACTGCGAAATGAAAACTGCCAACGGAATAAATACCCCGCTCAAAGTCAGCCCGGGTAGCAATCTCGATCCAATTCGTCAGTTCGACTAGGTTATATTGCAATCAAGGTCAAAGCGTGACTTTCCAGGATTTCTGCTCTCGCGGAACCGCGCGACGGGTAGTTGCAGCAGGGATCTTGTCCAACAGTAAGTTCAACTACATAGTATTTGGCAAGGTAAGTTTACTCCGAACACTGCCGATTTCGTCGAGACAAGCTCGAGGAGGACGTACCTAGTATATCTTCAATATATACATTTGATGCGTGTGTTCGCAATGCTGGCAATAGAAGAGATAAGTGAGATCGGTATGGACCGACCACTGATCTATTGCCGAGGATACGAGATGATGACCCATTCATTGGCGGTGGTCCAGCAGTCTGGTTCAGAATCTACCCTACTAGGTACAGTCACTTGACCCTTCTCGGGAGTGCAACCGGCTCCTATCCCGCCTTCCTACTTTGGTATATCCTGCCAGCTTGAAGATTCTTTCTTAGACTTTAGGTTTCGGATGGCTATAGAAAGTTACCTATATATTTGACTTATGTGATACAAGTGGGATTCTAGCTTGGCATTCCTAAACTTAGTATTTGAACTCGCTAAAAAAGAATACGTGTTGTATCCGGAAGGTGAAATCGAGACCAAAATCCTCATATGTCAAGGAGGAAGTAATCACGTAGGCGGTACACAGACCGTGGACGTGGCGTTTTGAACCAAACAGTCTGACAGCCAACACAAATTTAGACTCCAGCACTACGTCATAGGCGATCGTTCTAACTGCCTATATCCCTGCATGGTAATCAATCCTTGGGAATGGGGAAGGCTGCACTGGGCTGAGGCCATCAATGGCAGGACGGTATGTGCTAGTTAGTAAATATAGTTAATATAGTTATCGATGCTGAGAAATGTGCTCTCCAAAATGTACCGAAACAAGCCCAGCAGTCAACACCGCTATACCAACACTCCAGATTCGCTCAAGCGTTACAGAAGACCTAGAAAAAAAATATAAAAAAAGCCCTGGACTGGAAGATCTCAGAATTCAAAGAGCGTGCACTCTTCTTTCAAACTCCCCAACTTCTAGAGTAGGACTCTCGAGCATGAGAAAGCTGAAAAGAATGTTGCCGTACTCAACTCGTAAATCAGGTGGTAGCTTTTTGATCATCTTCAGCAGCTCTCCCATCCGCCACGCCCGTTCCGAGTCTCTCAACCTCGGGATACATCGTTCCTCAAGGAGGAGCCATATGAATGTTTCACATGCGGGATTTCTGTCGAGCTTATACTGCGCGACAAGCTCATTGAGATGAGCAAGGAACTGACGGGTTTTGTCGGGTTCATATTGGTAATCCCACAGTGCGCTTGTGATGTGTATCAAACACGCAGTGCGGCTAACCTCATGACTAGGTATATTCAAGTTCATCACATATTTGTGCAAGTCCTGTGGAACCGTGGATGGCCAAGGCCCAGGACAAAGTGAGCAGAAGAGCGGACTGGCCATCTGGAACGCCGTCCGCCTCTGAGGCACCGAAGCCAAGTATGCAGCTGTGCTGTGTTTGAGCTTCAATTCTTTCGCACCTCGAAGGAAATGGACTAGCATTACTCTGTCCTCATGGCCCAGTGAGAACTCCCGTGGCATCTTCAGATACTGCACATAATGCAGGAACACTTCAGCAACGCCCATTGAATCCTGCCAAGGGCGCATGCGCAGAAGTCTAAGTGCCTGGTCTTCGTACTCCATAGCAGCGGACTCATTATCACCGAAGCGATTCTCATGGAGAGACATTCCGGCAAGAGCCATCGCAAGAGAATCATCGTTCTTCTCGTTTCTTGCCTTTTGGATCATTGTGGAAGCCCTGGTCAGATGAAGTTCGGATTCAGGGCTGGATTCGAGACCGTATAATCGGGCCCGCCAGCGAGCGCAATAAGCAAGAATGATCGCTTGAAAGCACACTGGATGAGCTATGGCTGCTTTATAAATTTGGAGCTTGATGTACTGGTTCTGTCCTGACCAATAACTTAACTTGCTCACCCATGCATCAGCCAGTTCTTGGTCAGCTACAGAGGTGACAGCTGGCAAACTGTCAAAAGGATCTTTCCTAGACGAATCCAGAATCGTAGCGGGCGACGGAGGAGACCAAGTATCATCTGCGTGAGGTGAGGTTGGCGTTGGTACAGGAGGACTGGTTGAGTTCTATGTGTCAAGCGAAAGTCAGCACCATGAGTAATCATTACAAGCAGCATGTCAGCTAGGCTAAGACTGGTAGGGAAAAGCATCCGAGTCACAACGTGGAAGCAAGTGATACAGTCCGCCAGCCTATGCAGATCGTCACGAAGCTTACATTGTGATTATGAGGCTGGGTAGACATTCGCCGGAGATACCTCTTCTGATTATGCTGGCGCATGACGTGCGACCTCCGCGCACGGGGGCTGAGGTTTTTATCGACGAACAAATAAGTTGTCTGCATTGCGGAAGACTGACCGTCCTGAAGTCCAGGTAAATGACTTTGTTGGCCGGTGCTAGCCCGGGTGCTAGCAGAAACTCGAGGGGTAGGATCGGACGTTTCTGTCACAAGAAAAGAGTGAGCTCTTGGTCAGTAGATAAATGCGTGGCAAATCCGCGCCAGCAAAAGGCAAAGAGGCATCGGAAAGACCAACGTTGTTGTTGTGCTGATTGAGAAGGATCCTCTGCCTCCAGGACAGGTTCAATTGGATTTGTTGAATTGCTCATTGAATGTGCGCGTGCCAGTTGCCAGTAACTAACCATGCCAGCACTTGCTGTTATTCAGCAAGTGACGGGAGTAGGTGGAAATAAGAGGAAGGGAAAGTATATGTTAACAATGCATGTCGAAAAAGAGAAGAATCGTTGCAGATTGCGAGAAGAATGGTCATTGCCCACAAGGCTATGAGAAAAGTGGGTATATAGCTTGTCAGACCACGAGGGGGGGGGAAGAGCCGAATTATCTATCCGGCTGGGTCTTTGAAGGCAATTTATGGAAACGGGGAAATGGGGAGGGGAGAGTGGTAGAAGGGGAGAGGGTGTGGAGGGAGGGAGTGTGGGTTGTGGTGGAAAGAAGGGAGGGAGGAAAGAAGAAGATTCAACGAGAGAGAGAGAGAGAGAACTCAGCTTGAAGGTGGGAATTGGAGTCGGAGGAGGGAGCGGCCAGTGCTCGCTCACCAAGTTACCACTTGGTCACCACTCACCACTCACCACTCAATTACTTTTGGAAGAACTCATTAATTACTCAGTTAGACACCCTCCACCACCACCAGGGCCACGACCACTACCACCACCACTGCTACCGCAGAAAGGCCCCACGACCTCCCTTAGGCTACTCCATATTCCATGTATACTAGTTTACTAGGTAAGTACCGACCGAGTACGGAACTTTAGGTATGGCCCCCGGCCCGGCCTCATCCTCAGCCTTCCAATTCCATATTAGGTATACAGTCTTACCTTCCAAGTTACCTTACTAGCCAAGGAGTACGGATACTGCCTACCTAGGTACCTAGTACCCATATGTGACCTATACACAGTACATTCTACACGGATTGATCCTTTGTCATTGGGTCGGGAATGGTTGAGGTTTCCCGGAAAAGGAATCCTACCCGTCAATCTGGTATGATTGGATGTGGGGAAGAACAACTTATGGAACCCACCTACTACCCTGGCTGGTTAGACCACCTATCATCTACAAATACAATCAGTCAATAAATGATTCAGACAGACGGGAAGGATCCCGCTTGGTGCGGATTGTTGGAACACTCGGGGAGCTCCCCGGTGGCTTGTTTTCCCTTGTTGGCTCTCTGCAAAGTTCAAACTTTTCCCCTCCCCCACTCCACTCCAAATCGCGCCTATCTACGTAGCAGACTCTCAGGCCTCCAGCTCGGGCCATCTTATTCCAGAAGAGGCAAAAGGTCTTTGAAAAACACATACCGGCCAGATCTGGTAGGTCAATCGCGAGGCGGGGGGAGGCACAGCGTGCATAATGGTAGCGTGGTGCATAACTATTTAGTTGGTGGTGCGTTCTAGCTGAAAATCCTCCCATCCTATCTGTTGGTATGCGTCGTATGCCCGCCCTTAAACACACTCTCAAATGACTTCCATCATTGATCAAGACAGGAAGAATGGGAGCATGACGTTCGTTCCGTGGTCGACCCAGTTTGGGTCGCAAGATCATGACGAAATAAGGCCACCCGGCTATAACAAAGAGACAGGAGAGGCACTGGAGGATTGTCGCTATCGCAGTAGCTTGGAGAAGCTGCGTGTGTGTCTGTCACTTCGTATTGCTGGCGTAGGCTGTCCGTGGCTGCTGTAGGTGCATGGCTAGACGGGCTTAGTCTGAACCACTCAGAGGAGGATGCTCTGGCAAGATCGCAGGAAGAATGCGAACAATGACATAAAGAAGTCTGGCCGTCACGATTCCAAGGTCGTGCTCCCGGGCAATATCAACGGAGGACTATGATAATTGTCTGCAGTATGCCGAAGGTGGATACGCTCTTTATCCGCGGATATTACTCGAGTCTCAAGCCACCTCGCAAAGAAAGACCCTTCACCAAGTGCGAATGATACCAGACTGCTACGGGGAGCGTCAATTTCTCAATGTACATGTGGACTGAGGAGCTCGCAAATCTTTATTACCATGTTAGTCGTATCCCATCTGAAAGTTCAGCTGTCAATCCTCAGTTATGGAGTCGTCCCAACCGCATCGGGGCAAAGGGCCAATTGAGTCAATCACCGCAGCAGCAGTGGCAGTTGCAGAACCAAACGCTCCATTTTGCTATTGATCATCGGACCGTTCCGCTTTCCTCGAATAGGAGATCCTTTCTGCTCTGGCAAGTGCCAAATCACATCTGCAACATGCTCTGCAGTGGATATTATCCTGGCTATGATACGGCCGATGCCACCACGGACGTCCTAGAAAAAGCTTTTTCAACCGCCATCGTTATTCTAGAGGACAAGCCTGTCTAGGAGCGCCGAAGCGCAAGCCCCATGACCTTCTACCCCAATCTTAGGAGAAGAGGATCGATCAGTATGTACTCCGTACTGTACCGGTAGACCGCTAGAGTGCGCGAAATGTCGAGAGGCCAAAAGTACCAGGCTGCCCTTGCTCTCTACTCATGCATCAGTTGCAGCACAAGGTCTATGTTCTGCTGATCGTAATTAGTCACTGCACTGGCTGCTCTTTGTCCATGATTGTCGGCTCTATTGAGTGCCATGAAGCTTTTTTAGTGCTCTTTGTTGGTTAGCCCTAATAACATTTACATGGCATTCCTGAGGTCAAGAAGGACGCATGAAGTTAAGAGCTCAGTGTGACCTAAAAGGAGCTGTTTCTGTGGATTTGTTCTGCGAGTCATGAAGCGCAGATTGTGAGTCCCGGACTTGCTAAAGATATTGCTGGAGGAATGCGGTAATGGCTCATGGAGTCATCACTCGGTCCCGAGTCCACTCCGTTTCGTCCGTACTTCTGCCTCGAAATGGCTAGCCCTAATTCTCAGCTACGGTAGCAGCTTGGCATTCCCAAAGGAATGCCCACCCAATGCATGACTAAGTATCCAGAAAACCACTTAACGCGTCGGGAAGCGGAACAATGTAGTCCCGACGCGTTCGTGTTGCGGTCGCGTCCCATGCAAAAGCTCAACGGAAAAATGTCAATGCGAAGCAAAAGTGCCAAACACATTCGTTCATTCCATCAACACATCAACACCCTCTGGCCAACCCACCTTCCTCCCTCAAGGCTGGCCCTTCTGATTGACTGGCAGCAAACTGGACACTTCCCTGAGATATCATTAGCTCGCCGAGGGTTGTAGTCTCTCATATTTTTCTTGGTTGAAACGATTCCTACCCACGTACTTCAACGGCCTTACCCTGGCCATCCGCCCCTTCGCCATGTCCTCCCTCTTTGATGCCGTCCTGCAGTCGGAATTGGGCTCGACGGCGGGCTCTCGTCGCCTTCACTCGGATCAAATCCCCAGTTCACGACCGCAGCCACCCTCAGAAAGCAATGGACCGATGAGCGATATGCACGGCTATCCAGACGAGCAAGGAGCAGACTCGAACGCCTCGACCGTAGGCCGACTCCGCAACCCATATCTTCCCCCTCCTCCCCCTGTGACCGATGTCGCTGGAGAGAAAGTGCAACAGGCATTCGAAGAACTGCTTGAGACATACGTGGAGGAGCCTTCCCTCTCACAGCCGCCCCCGCCGTCTGCGGAGATCTTGAGCGACAAATACTACATTGCTCAAATCCGAGGCATGGCCAAATTCGAGCTTTCAACGCTCTATGTGGACTTTACGCACCTGACCTCCCTCAGCAACCCGATTCTGGCAGACGCGATTGCCAACCAGTATTATCGGTTCCAACCCTTTCTCACCAAGGCCCTGAACAACCTGATCGCTAAGTATGAGCCGGAGTACTATGCTGCACATCGTCAAGCCACCGCTACTAGCAGCATCTCTTCGCAAGCAGGTACCTCTATGGTTGCGGGCAACTCAAGCGTCTCCGACAATCCCGATTTGGAGCGTGATATTCGCGAGAAGACTAGGCACCAGCAAACCGATAGGCTATTCTCGCTGGCGTTCTACAACCTACCTCTGGTGTCCCGACTGCGCCAACTTCGGACGTCTCAGATTGGAAAGCTAGTCTCTGTATCCGGCACAGTCACACGTACCTCCGAGATCCGACCCGAGCTCTCTCTCGGTACTTTCACTTGTGAACTGTGTAAGGCAGTATGTCCCAATGTGGAACAGACTTTTCGCTACACCGAGCCCGCACAATGCCCCAACGACACCTGCGGGAACCGCACCGCATGGCGCCTGGATATCGGCAAGAGTACCTTTGTTGATTGGCAGAAGGTCAAATTGCAGGAGTCGTCTCATGAAATTCCAACTGGTAGCATGCCACGGACAATGGACATTATTTTGCGGGGCGAGATGGTGGATCGTGCTAAGGCTGGTGAGCGGTGCATCTTCACTGGTACACTGATTGTTGTGCCAGATGTGAGCCAGTTGGGATTGCCTGGGGTGCGACCGGAAGCTGTCCGTGATGACGGTGCCTTCCGGGGAAGTGACATTGGTGGCGGCGGTGTGAGTGGTCTGAAAGCTCTTGGTATTAGAGACCTCACCTACCGACTCGCGTTCCTTGCTTGTATGGTGACGCCTGACACAACAACTCCCGGTCAACAGACGAAACAGCAGTTGAATGGCCAGTCACATAATATCCTGGCTTCGCTCAACCAAATCTCTGATCCTGAGACTGATGAAGATCAGGCGCAGGAGGCTTTGCTTCAAAGTCTGACGCCCTACGAAGTTCAAGACTTGAAGAAACTCGTGCATTCGGAGTATATTTATGCGCGGCTGATCGACTCCATTGCTCCCATGATCTACGGTCACCGGCAAATCAAGAAGGGCATATTGCTACAGCTGATCGGAGGAGTCAGCAAAAATACCGAACAAGAGAATCTACAGCTCCGTGGTGATATCAACATCTGCATTGTTGGTGACCCATCAACCAGCAAAAGTCAATTCCTGAAGTAAGTAATTCGGACCCCCTGTGGTTTCTAGATGGTGATACTGATACATTCTTACCCAGGTATGTGTGTTCTTTACATCCTCGGGCTGTTTATACCAGTGGCAAAGCCTCCTCTGCAGCGGGTTTGACTGCGGCTGTTGTGAAGGATGCCGAGACGGGCGAGTTCACAATCGAAGCGGGAGCTCTGATGTTAGCTGTACGTGATCCATACTATCGCTGTGCCGAGTTATCACAGAACTAACCCTTTTTCTGAACAGAATGGAGGAGGTATCTGCTGTATTGACGAATTCGATAAAATGGACCTCAGCGACCAAGTTGCGATCCACGAAGCCATGGAACAACAGACGATTTCTATCGCCAAGGCTGGTATTCATACTACCCTCAACGCCCGTGCGTCGATTCTCGCCGCGGCCAATCCTATCGGTGGCCGTTACAACCCGAAGACTACATTGCGTGGCAACTTGAACTTCAGTGCTCCCATCATGAGCAGATTCGATCTGTTCTTCGTGGTCCGAGACGACCCTAATGAAACAGTGGACCGCAACCTTGCGGACCACATTGTCAACGTGCACATGAACCGCGATGAAGCAGTTAACCCGGAGCTCAGCACTGAGCAACTGCTGCGTTACATCCGATTCGCAAGAACATTCAGACCCGTGTTCACCGAGGAGGCCAAGGCTTATTTGGTTGAGAAGTACAAGGAACTTCGTGCCGGCGATGCCCAAGGTGGCATGGGCCGCTCCTCTTATCGTATCACGGTTCGACAGCTTGAGTCTCTCATCCGTCTTTCCGAGGCCGTTGCAAAGGCCAACTGTGTAGAGGAGATTATACCCAGCTTTGTGCGTGAAGCCTACGACCTTCTGCGGCAAAGCATGGTGACTGTTGAGAAGGATGATGTTGAAGTTGATGACGAAATCAACGCTGCTAGCGGTCACGCTGCCGATGAAGATCATGAGATGGGTGACCGCGATCGTGAAGGCGACAGCCCTATGCGTGATGAAGGCGAGCCGGCACAACAGACCCAGCCGCCTCGCACACGTACCAAGATCACTTATGACAAATACATGAAGATCTTGAACTTGCTTGTACGACGTGTGCGCGACGATGAGTCGATGTCTGGCGAAGGTGTTGAACAGGAAGAACTTCTCATCTGGTACCTGGAGCAAGTCGAGTCTGAACTGGAAACCGAGGAAGATCTGGAGCAAGAACGCTCCCTGGCTGTCAAGGTTCTGAAGCGGATGGTCAAGGTACGTACTGTGTTGCACTTACCCCCGCTTCATTCTACTGGTCTCATGCTAATTCACCTGGACAGGACAACATTCTTATGCCTATTCGTGGACAAGGTCTGGTCGACCCAGCTGATGAGTCTGCCCAAGTGGAGCGGACTATCTATGTCATGCATCCCAACTGCGCCATCGATGAGGAGTGATTCTGCGCCTGGTGTTCTAGGAATAGGGCGAGGTAATAGGAAATGGTGAAGCAGGAGTAACGGTGCCCGGTGCCTTGGTCGTTATGAGTGATGATTTTCTGATCTATTTTTACATGAACTTACTCGCACACTGTCGGTAGAGCGTAACTGATCTTGGTCTGTCGAGTCTGGAGTACATGCATGGGTGACAGTTTTGCCTTCACAATCTATGAATATAATAGCTCATGAATTGCCGATACGTCCATTTCATGCTTGAACTTATCTTCTCTCATTTCCACCTCGTTTGATATGATACTTGGCTCGTTCCTCGTTACATTATCCATCATCTATACCATTTCTACTTGACCTCGCCCTTGCTCCATATATAGAAGCTATCCTTGGAGGTCTCTTCAGCCTTATTCCCCTTCGTCTACTCTTCCCAAGACTTGACTTTGCCCTACCTGGTCAAGCCTTTTCAACTTACCTTGCTTACATCCTACTCTCACCCAGCACTCATTCTGAACAACATACGCGCATCTTTTTTGTCAATCAAGTAAAGTCAGCCATTTCCTCGAGCACCTTCATCCTTCCTGACTATCAGACCTCCCTTGGTTTTGCAATTGTCATACTCAATCACTACTCAATCAAGCCTCACCCTTGCTGAATCATCATCTGCCCTCATCTTGAACTCGTTCTTCGCGCCGTTGGGCCAACATCCTGCCATATAAAACCACCCATCCTCATCCTCTCCTGTTCTTCCATCCTTCTCAGCCAACCTCTTGACATACAAATACCACCCATCCTCTCGTACTCTCTTGTTTTCCCACCCTTCTCAGCCAATTCCCTGACATATAAATACCACCCATCCTCTCATACTCTCTTGTTCTTCCACCCTTCCCAGCCAGTCTCCTGCCATATCAATACTCAGCCACCTTCACATACTCCTCCCGTCCTCCCGTTCCTCTCGATCGACTTTCTCATACTTCTCGCACCTTACACCCTATATCCAAGCCGAATTCCCCGTATAGCCAGCTCTCGCTTCCTTACTTCCCTTGAGAGTCCCCTCCCTGCCTTCCTCCACACTCCCGTCAGCCAAACCGCCTGCTTTCACGCTTCCGTCAGCCACCGTCCCTTCTTCCTCAAGTCACCTGATCATCTATACCTTATACTGCTTCACCCGTTCACCTTATCATCTACATATTCTCACGTGACACGAGATATCTCGCGAACCATGTCCACAGGCGCCCCCACAAGCCCGGAGGAGAAGAGGGCCTCTCAGGCGGAGACAGATACAACCAACCAGACCGAGGCTCCGGCGCCCGCGGCGTGCCAGCGAGAACGCGATATCACCCAACTGCCCATTGAGGAGGCAGGTACGACGGCCAATCTCGACGATAGCAGCCATCAACTTCTCCCAAACCCAGGTAAACCGGCTTCCTTGCATACGGACTGAATCTATTTCACCGTGATACTGACGTTGCAAATCAGACGATCGCTGGATCACAGACGCCGGTCCGGTAATGCAATTGGCTTCTATATCTAGCCTTCAGAATCCCAATGGAGAGGATTCGCTTTTTGTTCCGGACTCGAGGAGTTCCGTGGAGTCTCCGTCTCTCCCTCCCGCTGATGTGCAGATGGTGCATCCGGATGAATTCATCTCACCTAGTGTCCAAGGCTCTGATACTTCCATACAGCCGTTGTCTTTCCCTCCCGCTGATGTGCAGATGGTGCATCCAGATGAATTCATCTCACCTAGTGTCCAAGGCTTTGATACTTCCATACAGCCTTTGTCTTTACCTCCCGCTGATGTGCCGATGGCAGTTGCAACCGCTGCAACTTGTAATCAAGAATTTTTCACTGCTATGCATTATTCATCTTTCCAGCCTGCAGATATGCAGACGATGTATCTGGATGGACCAGATTTGGAACACCCCTACGCGGCGGACTTACCGAGCAAGGAAATGGAAGCGATGCTGAAGGTTTTGGACGGCGAACCTGGACCTACGACTAAAAGTCCGCACGAGATACCAGTGCCCATGAATAGAGAGCTTGATGAAGCGGACAAGAATCCTTCGGCAGATGCCATTGCAGATGACGAAAATCCCCGACCATCGCTGGATAATATGCCTGTCGTCTCTTCAGCGTCATCTGGAGCGGTAAATGCTGACCCTCAATCAGTGAACCTGGCTCATGAGGGTGAGGAGGCCGAGTGGCTTGATGATGAGCTTGATGCTATAGCCCAACAAGATCTCTCGGACGCAAAGTGAGCGAAATTTGACTTCACTCCAGAGCTTTGACTAATTACTGGGTATAGGTTCCAAGCTGCCAAACGTCACTTTCAGAGCCTCGCAAATCCTTCTATGGAAGATAAGATTCGCCTTGAAGCTGCTAGGATGGAAGACGAAGCACGAAAGAGAAGGGTTGCAGCCAAAGAGGCTTTTGAGGCAGAAAACCAATCGAGGAACTCTAATTATGAAGATTCAGGGGCTATTTCCGACGAGCAAGTTTCTGTTGATGTTGTGGCGCAATCATGGAAAGAGACCGTGCAGCCCTCCCAGGACACCGCCGAGTCAAGAGGCCAGGGCCAACAACTGCGAGTACCTCGGAACAGAAAAAATAGACTTTCAGCCGAGGAAAAGCGCAAGAGCAAGAAGTATGGCTTCGAGTCTGTTATGAAACAAGCCGGTCAGAAGACACCGACAAAGTCTAGAAAACGAAAAAGTGAAGACGCTGCCCCTGATTCCGAGGCCGTCAAGGCACCCGCCCGCAAGAAGGCAAGAAAAAATACCCCAGCAACTAAGGAGTTTCTCAAGGTCCTCAAGGCTCCAAATGTTATTGAAGATGCACACGCTAGTGCTTCTGCACAAGCCATGCCTGAGTTTAGCGAGAAAAACAAAGAGAAAGCATTCACGCAGATGATTGCTAGTATTCCTGCTGCAGATCTTGCAGAAGCAAAGTCGGACCGAAACAAAATCAGAGAGGCAAGCAGAAGGTTTAGGAAAATCGCTAGGCTTGATGGAAAAGGTGGATATCGCATCCCGGGCTTGAAGACAAGCTTATACCACTATCAGCTTCAAGGGGCAGCTTTCATGCGCGATCGGGAGAACTCATCAGTCCAACCTTTGGGCGGATTTCTGTGTGACTTCATGGGATTTGGCAAGACAATACAAGCACTGGGTAAGATACAAGCCCACTTCTGCCTGCCACCTACCAGATATATTAACAGGATGCCAGCAAACATTGTAGATGGACGGCCTACAGACCCGAATGACCCTATCTACACCACCCTCATCATCGTTCCCTCGCCGCTGGTTACTCATTGGTATGCCTCGATTCCTGCTGCAAGCTCTGTCTCTCTAACTTGGTCAGGAATAACCAAATCATCAATCACTGTGATGGCATCGATGGCAGCGAGGTTCTCACTTATGACGCTAGAACAAGACTCAACACCCTAGATACCGCGAAGAGCCTGCAGAAATATAGTGTGATAATCACCACCTACGAGGAGGTCCGAAGGTCATATCCCAAATGCAGCAAGTTGTCAGTGCCGAGCGGGAGTCAGGAGGAAGTGTCCGCATGGTGGGACAAACATTATGAAGAGAATGTCGGCCCCCTTCACAAGATCAAATTTCTTCGAATCATACTGGATGAAGGACACATGATCAAGAATCATGCTTCAGCTGTGTCAATTGCTGTCCGTGCTTTGACTGGTCTTTATAAATGGATTTTGACTGGCACCCCAATACACAATTATCTCGATGAACTATACCCTCAATTCGACTTCCTGGGTGTACCCGGCACTCAGGACCATGAAAAGTTTTTCAAAGACTTCTGCCGAGATGAGAACGGTCATAGTCGCTTGGTTAATTTATTACGATCCTTCATGTTCCGCCGGACTCATGCAAGCCGCCTCTTCACGTTTCCAATTGTCAAGCTACCGGACGTTAAGGATAGAACCATCTCGGTCAGATTTTGCGATGCGGAGCGTGTGATCTACAATGCTATCCAGGATGTTTTCTTCGAGAGATTCAATAAATGCGCGGAGGAAAAGCATCCTAAGCTGGCTCAATACCGATGCTCTCTGACAATGATATTGAAGCTCCGCATGTTCTGCAGTCACCTTCTCACAGCACATGATATGATCAAGGCACTACTTTCAAAGGGAACTCTGATGTCAAAACTCGGAAGAATGTCGAATCAGCAAAAGGATCCACAAGATCCCTCGTTCATCATCATACAAAGACTGATTTCGGTCCGTACAAACCCAACAGCCATATCGGACAAAGAAAAGGAGCATCTAGGTCACTCCACAAGCCTTCAGGGAGACAAGGAGAAATTGGTGAAGAATTATTATGAGTATATGCGCCGGCTTCATGACGAAGAAGAATGGGATGAACGTCTCGAGAGGAACGAATGCCCTCAATGCCGGTCTATTCCCGTGTATCCCGTTATCACGTCGTGTCATCATTTATACTGCGAAGAATGCTACAGCTCTCTCTCTGTCAATGAGAGTCCAGGGCAAGACAAACCCACGTGCTGCACTTGCCAGGAGCCCATTCAGGAAGCTGCCTACTACGACATGGACGAAGAGTTAGAGACTCAGCAGACGCAGCGAGAAGTGCCAAAGACACAATCAAAAAGAAAGGGTGCCACGAAGCGCAAGTCACAGAAGTCATTCCGTGGGAGCGCTTCAATCAATGCCAACATGGAGCCGACTTCCGTGTCGGACGCAGATGAGGAGACTGACTGGATCCAAGCATGCGCTGGTCAGATGCCGTCCGCGAAGCTGACCAAGCTCCGAGAATTGATAGCTCAATGGCTAGCGGAGTCGCCTAAAAATAAGGTTGTGGTCTTTACCCAGTTCCTCGACTTCGTCCGGATCATGCACATCATGTGCCAGACGCAGGGTTGGTCGGCTGCCTGTGTAAGTCTCCACCGACCATCGTCAACTGAAGCAAAGGGGGGGGGGGGGGGGAAAATCAAATCGCTGACATCACTTAGTTGACAGGGAAAATGAATCTGGCCAAACGAGAAGCAAGCATGAAGCAGTTCAGCGACGTGAACGGCAACACGAATATCATGCTGGCGAGTCTGAAGGCTGGTGGCATCGGGCTGGATCTGACGGCAGCGAACAAGTGCATTCTGATAGACCTGTGGTGGAATGAAGCAATACAGGACCAGGTACGGAGAGACCAGCCTTTTCTTTTGAAAAACCCAAAGTGCTGACTGCTAACTTCCACCGACCCCAGGCATTTTGTCGTCTGTGGCGCCATGGACAAACGCAGGAAGTGGAATACGTCAAACTCATTGTCGAGGACACGATCGACGACCATCTTCTCAACCTGCAACGCGCGAAGATGACAGAGATCGATGAAACCATCGGCGATGGTGTTCTGGAAGATCGCGCTACCATGAAATTCTTGCTTGAGATGTTTGCTGATGTCGAGGTAGAAGACAACGGCATCTACAGGTTGAGCCGCAAAGGAACGGAGAAGAACAAGCCGCGAGCGAGATCAAATGGTAAAGGGAAGAAGAAGCAGGACGACCCTCCGGATGAATCGGAGACTGAGTCCTGAATTCAAATCTCCTTCTTTCTTCCGGTCAACACTGATTTCTTACCATGTACAAGACGAAGTTGGAATTTCTCTTCATTTGTGCTATCTCATTTGTGATACCCTTCAAGTTATCGGTCCTACATAATCTTTTTTAGGAGAAACCAGTATATCTAAATAAGTACTAAAACGTCAGGCTATGCTTCTACTTAAGCTTCAGAATACAATACAAACCAGTCATCAAACAATAACCCCGGTATTCGCCTGCAATCCGAAACAATGCATAGAGAGTACTCAAACACATAAACATGCAAGCAAAGCGATCAACACCATAGGCATTCCCAGCTTTTCGTCTCGTCCCATTTCATCCTTCATTAGGGCTGGGATCCCGCAGAAAAATACACACTTACACACAGAGTTCATCTACAAGCTCAAGCAAGCAAGCACAGCCTACAGTCTTCTCGTACCACGGCGGACCTTTTTGCCTCCCGCAGCCGCATCAATCTGTGTCTGTGTCTGCTGCTGCATCTGATCTCCCTGCATCTGCTCCTCCCGCTGCCTCGCCACCGAGAGCGCAAGCGCAGCCATCTCCGACGCTGTCAGGCTCTGCGAGGACCAGGGTAGCCAGAGGCCACTTGCATCCGGCGTGACCTGATCATGCTCTGCGAAGTCAAACTCGGGAGGAGGGTTGATAGTAATTTCGTCGACTGGAGCCAGCGCAGCGTGGTCTGTGCCATTATCCATAGGCAGCTCTTGGCTCGTGTGCACTACCGAGAAAGGAGCCACGAGGTCCGGGACGTGCGTCCACGGTCCGACGATGGCCTCGGGCTCGTCGAAAAACGCTGCATATGAGGTGCTGGCATCGCCTGTGATGGGGGTGAGGACGGTGGTGAGGTTGGCGTTGGCATCCCAGTTGAAGGCATTTGTGTCCATGGAATGTTGGGTGGTGGGCGTGCTGAAGAGACTGTTCTCCGGGGCGGGGAACATGGTGATGTTCTCGAGATCAAGGTCGAGATCCATCTCCATGTTCATGTCTGCGTCCGTGTCCAGGTTGGTGTTGAGGGTGAGGTCATGGGTCTCGATGATGTGGGTGTTGCCGTTACGGGTGCTGCTGTCTTCGTGTTGATTCTCCCCTCCTCCTCCTCCTCCTTCCTCTGCGGGCTCACCGTTCCAAAGTCCCTCGTCGATATTCTCCTTGTCTTCGTCCCATGGAGCGAAGACGTTCACTCTGATCTCTTGGAATTGAATCTCGATGTCGTCGGGGTCTTCGTAGATGGGGAAACCTGTTCTTGAGAAAGAATGATGGTAATGATGATGATTCTGGTAATCAACCTGGGTCTCTGCTGCTACGCAAGGCTCGAGATCAGTGGAGAGATAGTTCAGGGGATACTCTGAGCTGAGAATGGGAATGTAAGTGCGATACGTGTGTCTCAAGGAGGAGTGGGAGGCCGGTGGTGGGATAGCACAGTCGGCTGTGTCTGCCGTTTCGCCAGCAGCGATTCTCACGATACCATTCAAAGGTGAAGAAACAGAGAGTGTGCTTGGAAGGCTACTTGGCTCGTCCACTTCATGGACCATGGCCAGGTCAACATCCATGTGCTGTCTATCCGCTGAGCCGGCGGCCCTTGCGTGCGAGAACTTCATTGGATCGAGGAGAGAGGCAGCACATGCAAAGCTGGGCAGGGTCAAGGCTGCTTCGAGAGCGTCCGTACTGTTCCGCTCGGTCTTTCGCTTCTTGTCGTAATGACGGCGTGGAGGGGAGCTTGCGTTCTTGTTTTCGCAGTTTCTCGGTCTGCCGTCGTCAAGATCCTCCGCCTCTCCGCGCTGCGCGAATGTGCGGACTTTGACATTGGGAGAAGAGGATCGCTTCGTATTGTACGGAGGAGTGATCATTTTGACGCTGTGGTTCGTGGTTGGCCGGGTCTGATTTCGTAAGGTTTCAGTATATTCAGAGTCACGGAAGGTTCAAATTGAGAAAGTATGCGCAGTCAAGGGTGATTTCAATGGACTGCCAGGATACAGGTTCGACTCACAGTGTCCATGGTTTCAGTACACTTATACAGATGCTTTCTGCTCGCGTTTTGGTTCTCAAGCAGGCAGACGCCACTCTGTATCATATCCAGCTGTTCGTTCTTGGAGGCTGTCAAGTTCAACTTAGTCCTGGTGAATGCGAATAGAGAAGAGTAACCTCTTCCACCCCAATGCGGATGCAGATCTGAAGATATAGACACTCCAAGACTATGAGACACAAATCCTAGCGTCCCTATTGCGGTGAGAATAATGGAAATACTGTACTTTGCCGCTCCTCGTCACGCCGGAAAACCAGTCAAACGAGGCTGGCGATAGCGATGAGATAGCGATGACGAATCGTCTCATCCCTGTAGGAACCTAATCAATGAGGCAAGAGCAGAAACTGAGTAAGATGGCTGCCATCGCCGGCATAAGGCTTGTTGGGGGTGGAGTCAGAGAGGGATTCCAGGGAAGGATGGAGTGGAGGGGAGGGAGAAGGAGGGAATTCGCAACAGGAAAGCGGGCCCATCTATAAGAGGCAAAGCCAAAGCGCGCAGGCTCATGATTCACTGCATAAACTCCCAATGTCAACTAGATCATTGAGATGTTTCTCTGTTGAATGTGCCCTACTATACCTACACTTTTCCTACAACTGATCTACAATCAAGGAACCACGGTCGAACAATAGAACTTCATTGGAGCCATCACGCCTTCTAGAAATCCAGGCGCATTGGTGATGGCGTAAGGTCATTTATCTGTTAAAGATAAGACCTAGTATCCGCCTATTGCTCTCGATTTTGTCATTTATTTGGAAGGGGTTGTCCCGCAAAGGAGAGAATCCAGTGGTGATACAGTCTCTCAGTACTCGTCACAGAGCCGATATCCTGTCAGCATGCCTTCCACACCCACATCTGCCATGCATCCAGCTAGAAGCAAAATAAATAGGTAAGAAACAGATACAGGCAAGGCCCATGTATCAAGATAGCATAGCAAGGGGGGATTGGCGGGCGCCTGCAAGATATGGACGAATATGTGTTCGAGATATCCTCCATTACCTAGAACTAGGACGAGCAATCGGGCACCCCCACTGCCCGATACGCTTATCTGAACTGTCCAGGTCCAATCATGCCACCTCGGACGTCACCGCCAACTTGACCGAACATATCCAACAGGTGTCGAGATGAAGGTGGAGGGCCTTGGGGTGGCGGGCCGCCTTCGAAAGGAGGCTGTCCGCGAGGTCCAAGTCCCATCATAACATCGCCGTTATGTGGCATGGGCGGAAATGAGGGCGGGGGGCCGTTCATGTAACCAGGGAGAGGCATCATCCCAGGAGGCGGAGGAAAGCCGGCCGAACCACCGCCATTGGCGCGCGGGAAAGGCTCACGCTCGTTGAGAGGAGGAGCACTCCCGTGCATTGGCATCATGTTTGCCATGTAGGTCGGGTTTACACCACGTGTAGGAGTTGGGATACCTGGGGGAGGGGCCAGAGGCGCCGGTCCACCAGCAGGCTGCGGGGGCATTTGAGGGCCCGCCCATCCAGGAGGCGGCATATGTTCAAAGCCTGGAGGTCTTTGCATACCCATAGGAGGATGTCCTTGACCGTGAGGAGCCCTGGTTCCACCGGGCGTGATGGGGACTTGGCCACCAGGAGGAAAAGGGATGTCATCAAAGTATCCCATCGGAGGCCCATTCACAGGCCGTCTCCGAAGGTGTTCAGCGTCAGGTCTCTGGATATTCGCAATCGCTGGATCATCCAGAAAGTTGGGGCCCTTTTGAACAGGAGGTATACCAGGGGGAGGAGACAGTACATCCGGCATGTTCATCATACCGGGCACAGGACCGGCACTCTGTGGCTGATTTTGGCCACCCGGAGCATGGCCATTTACAGGAGTGACGCGAACTTGCTGCATCAGTCGCAGAAGGTGCTCTCTGTCACGAGCCTGTGTTTCCGGGGGGTATGGATTTTCCTTGAATGGAGGGCCAGCGGCTCGAGACGGCGTCTCCAGCATAGCCAGATACTCCTGTCGCTTGATATGTTCCCGAGCAGGCGAAGAGACGGCGCTCTGAACCTGTTCCGCCTGCACCAAGGAGGGAGGCCGATTAGCAGGCATAGTATCATTATGTGGTGTCCCGTTACGCGATTTTCCGCCTCCAAGCATGAGCAGAATACGTTGAAATCCTTCTTGGTCGGCATCAGTGGAACCAGCAGGCGTCAGAGCTGGAGACCTGGTATCAGGTTGAGGTTCTGGGTCTCTCGCAGGGCTTCCTGGCAGAGGACTGAAGAGCCCAGCAAACCGAGATGACTTCATGGCTTTAGCAGCTTGGGCTTCCTTCTTCGGAGTTGCCTCCACTTGCACAGGCGGAGCGCTGACCTCCGGCGCAGGCGCAGGCGCAGGCTTGGATTCGCTCAGCAATCCAAAGAAACGCTCCATGGCTGAGTCCTGCTGGAAGGGGGTGCCATTACTGCTGAAAATCTCCCCATCGGTAGGTCGAGTATCAGGCTGCTGAGGGGGTGCAACTTCAGCGTCGACAGGAATCTCGTGGTTGTCCGTTGCATGAGGCTGAGATCCGGCTTTCATTCGCTCCTTCCAACGCTCAAAGTCCTCCTGTGTATGCACTCTCCGATACTCATCCTTATCGTTGGTGTCTAGCCATTCAGGCTCCTGCTCAAGTTTGGCACCGCGGGTCCAATCGCGATCAGCACCGTGTCGATCCCGACGCCATTCTCGGTTACGGACCGGGGTCTTGTCCTCCTCGGCTTCGGGTGTCTCGTGGGGAGCGTTGTCCTCTCGGAACCAGCTTCCTTCATGCCTAGCGCGCCCCGGTGTACCGTCCTTGCGAAGGGTGAACCGGGTATCCTTGCTGTCTCTCACAGTCCGATCATGAGTCGGCTCGCGTTGGTCGCGATTATCCCATCGGTCGAACTCTCCATTGCGTCTGGGCTTGCGGTCCTGTTCATCCGGGCCAAACGTGCGACGGGGACGTCCATTAATCCAGTCTTCCTTGTCCCCGCGCCGAGCATTGAACGCGCCCATCTTTCCATCGCGTCGATCGAAATCTCTGTCGTTGGGATCCCGTTCCTTGAAGAACTTGTCTCGAAAGGCAAAGCGATCGGTTTTCAGGTCTTCGGAATCGTGCGGCCTGGATGACCTATCCGTGGAATCTATGGATCCCTTACCAGCGATGCGAGAGGCAGAGGCGAAAGCGGTTTTAGGAGGCCCGAGAATGATATCCTCTGCGATACAGCAGCAAATGCTCGTATTAGTAATGGCCGTGATGCATTCCGTCTCGGCTAGTAGACAGTGTGTTTTTTACCTGAGTTCGAGTTCCGGGACATGTGACGGGTATCGAAGAGGCTCGGCCGTCTAGGTGTAGTCTCATTGGGATTGGTAGATTCTCGCGAATTTGAGGTTTTCCGTTGTGTAGATGGGTCGGGGATAGGGCTAGAAGTAGAATGTGTCAGCTTCATGATGGCCTTCGGCTTGGGTCATTTTGAGAGGATGGGGGGGGGGGGTCATCAAGGTGCCATACCCCATCCATTCGTCTACTGGCGGCAGTGTAGGAGGTCGAACAACCAGAGGCGATCCGCGCAGCCATAGCAGCTCATCGATATGATAACGTCGTGCCATGAGGATGGCTAGGAGGAGAGTGTGTGATGCTATCCGGAGGTTGCGTTTACAACGATTTCATTGGTTGTCGGCGGGAGTGATGATGGGTAGGTAGCGATAATGGATAGATATGATAAGAGTGAAGCACGGGGAGAGAGAGGTAATTTGAGCGTATGTTAGAGCTGAAGAGGAGCTGTGATTGAATGCGAAAGGTGCGTAGGAAGATCAAACGGGCCAAGATGGCAGGCCGCTTGCCAGTGGCAAGGCCGAAAGGCGGAGGGAGCTTCGATCGGTCCAAGAGTCAAGCAACTGGTTTGGGGGGGGTGAAGGAAGCGGATGAGGGGCACCACAACAGTTGGAAATTTTTCCACGAAGAACTCTCTCGGGAATGATAGTAGGATCAAAGTCAAGGAGTGAATCGGATATAGAAATGAAGCAGGAGGCTGCAGGAACAATGTGAGGGCACGGGGGGACGTATGAACGGGGCGGGCGGATTTGGGGGGGGGGGGGAGGAGGAGGAGGAGGGAGGAAGAGGAGGAGAAGGAGAGAGAGGAGAGGCAGTTCAGGTTCAGGTGAAAGGGTAAGGTAGTTAGTGGAAGTTCCAAGTTGCGGTGCGGGCAGGCAAAAGATCGAGGCGAAGTTTACCGCAAAAACGTGTGCATTACCCAATCAGGTAACTCGCCTGACTCCCCCCCCCGGGACTCAATCAATCAATCAATAATTATTCCAAACTACGAGTAAACACCACATCCCAAAGTGAAAGTGATAATTTGGCACTTATTCATCTCCAATAAGTTACGAGCTGAATTAATAAACTGCTCGACTAAAAGTACAATGCTCTTCAATGATTGTGATGATTGTGCTGTTATTCTGATCATTTACTACAATCCCCGTTTGCCTCGGCCCCCCCTGCACCCCGGCGCAGAGCAACTGATTCTCCCTGAACTCCATCCATGAGGGGTAGAAATGATGACATGGTGCAGGGCTAGTTGTCTCTCGTGTCGAGTTTCACCTGTTACCTTAAATCTATCGCCTAGCTCTGACCAAGAGGCGTTGAGCTTACGATCATCTCCAGGTTGCACTAGTATACCACCTCAACCGAGCGCCAATTGGATTCCAACACATGTCTATCGAAGCATATACAACTATTATAATATCCCAACCGGTAGTCCCTTAACCCACAATGTTCTCAACCGCTTTCAGCACGGCACCTCCACTCCATTTTTCCACCCGGTCGCTGTCAGAGGTTCGCTGCAGGCTGTGGGCAATCGCCGTGAACGTGGGCGTCTCTTTAGCCGTCACGGCTGGGATCTGACTCTGAATCCAGCTCATAATGCCCGCCCTCGTAATCAGCGTCGTACTACCCTGCACTTGGGTTGTGCGATAAAGAAGTTGCAGGATCTTTCTCTTGACCGAGTGGGCTGCACTTGGTGCTTCATAATATGAGAGGGATCGTTCAAAGACGTTGGCCCGGCGATAGATATCCATGTCCTGATGTTTTTCGTGAGCGCATGTTCAAGCAAAGGTGAAATCCGCGACGTAACAAACATACCACTTCAGTGCGGAGACCTTTGATGAGTAGATCGAATAGCCACCCAGTCTCTTCAAAGTAGCCATCATCGAGCTCAGGCTCATGCAACAAGATCTTGTCAATCCAAAAAGAGGGGATCTTCTCTAGCTCCCAAGAAGGCGCTTTCTGCAGGAACTTGTTGACCTTCCCATACAGTTTGTGCATTGGGTTGGTCAGGACATCGAGACAGCTAGAGGCACATTCTCCTACAATCCACGGCACAGGAGACTCGAGACCGATTTGTTTGACGGTTTCAAGAAGCTCACCCGTGAGGATGTAAACGGATCGCCATTCGACATATTTGGAGTCCTATGGTAGCAGCCAATCAGTCAAGGCCTGTAGCAGTATCGATACAATGGAAATAGACATACCTTAAGCTTCGCCATAAAGCGAGTCACATTCGCAAATGCCTGTCTGCGGACTTCTTCGTGCGCTGAGCATAGGCAGAGCATCAGTTCCGCAATACGACCCTGTTCGATTGCCACGTCGATTTCATCCTTCTCCCATCGGTAGAGTTCGTTGTGAGTGGTGCCCTCGACGGGCAATGTGCCAAAGATCTCATCCAAGTCCACCTCCGGTTGCCCACTGGTTTCGGTGGCCAATTTATCTTGCGTAGATGGACGGACTTCCCCGGAATTGTCATTTTCCGGCTCTTCGCTCTCTTTCCACGCCTTCTTCAAAGCCGACTTGGATTTCTTGTTCTCGGTGCCGTCCATCAACGTGTCTCGAGCGATTTTCAAGGCTTTAGAGTCTTCCCCAGCGCGTTTCAAGCTCGCGAGCAGCTTGGCAACCCAAGCACTCACGGCGAGTTCCACGGCTTTATCGCCAGCCTTCACCACGAACGGCCACTGCTCGAGAACAGCAGCCAATATGAGACTCACAGGCTTCGACACCTCTGGGAATGAGGTTTCAAGTAGGTCTTGATAATGGACAGGCTTCTTCGCAATACGGCAAACACAGTTATCAAAGAAAGACAATTGCTGCTGAAGCTTGTCCAGGTCGGTAGTCTCAAAGCTAGATAAGATGGACGGAAAGATGGAGTCATTCTGAATAATCGAATACTCATTGAGTACCTTTCGGAGTAGACTGTCAATCTCACTCAAGGACTCTCGCGACGAGGCTTGGACTAGAACTTTCAAGATGGAGGTGAAAGCCGAATATTGCATAGATGCTACAGAATTCAGCAGTTGACCATGAGTATAACACTGACTTGACTTACCAGGCTGTTGCCACCAGCGCATTGATGAAGACTGCTGGGTGATCTTGAGCAGATTTTGCAATTCACTCAACAGAAGTTCGGTGTCGTCTGTATCAAGATTCTGCTCGTCTAGTTTCTTCAGGATGTCAACCATGACCAATGAAACATCAAATCCTTCTTCCAACGCAGCATCTGGAACGATCTCATAATAGCATGCAAGAAGCTCCGATACCGCCTCTTGTTGCTGTAGATCTTCCTTGGCCGTTCTCTTGAACAAGACGATGACCTCCTTGACAGCCGGGCACCTCCTGCAGAACTCAGCAATCAGTTTGCTGGCCGCCTGCATCCAGAGCGACTGGCTGACGCCATGGTCAGAGTTGAATATCTTTAAGACAGCCCGCAGTTTGTTGAAGGCGATCGTAAGAATCCTCACGGCGAAGAGTGTGACGATCTCCGTGTTCATGTTCAGGCAGCGACTCAGGATCTTCTGTGAGAGAGGGCGAGGGAGAACGTTCTCGATGACCACCGAGACTGGCGGTGGCATCGGAGGTGATTTTTCCTTGTAACCACAATTTGAGGGAACTGGAAGTTGGACAGTGGAGAACAGAAGGGCAGACTCCGCCATCCAGGAGGGAGTAGGTTTGGGATCCGCGATAAACATGGTCTTCTTAGTGAAAAAGTCGGCTACCAGCTCTGGTGCCGCTTTAAAGATCGCAACGAGAAGCTCGATCTGAAGACTATCTGCATCCGGACGGAGAGCCTGGATCAGATAAGACAGTGTTCCATTCCGCACAGGCACAGTCTTGTTGTACTTGTCGAGATAGACTGCTGAATCCAGGCCCAGATCAATCAGGGTATCGTCGTCCGTCGGCAAGGTTTCAGGGTCGCTGCCAGTGGGGTACCAGCCGGTTTCAGGCAGCAGAACGCCAAGATCAGAATTCGTGCAAATGTTCATCAAGATCTTGTGAACCTCATTCGCCGTTGAGACGCCAGCTGGGTTGGGCTCCTCTGACTCGCGGTCATAGCCATACAGGGTCACAAGTCGCTCAAGGTTCCATCGGCTGAAGAACTTCGTCTTGGCGTGGCGAGGGATGGCCGTATCGCGAATGACATCTCTTTCGATGGATTGGAGGATTTCAAGAACAATGTCCCGGGGATCTTTCCTGATATATTCGAAGAATGCTCTGATCACCTTGTGCTGTTCAATGATATCACTTTTGGAGTTGGCGTGCTGGAACTTGAAATTCGCGAGGACATATTTTTGAGCGTTCCTTCGCAAAGTAGACTTGTGTCCATCCTCGGCCATTTCTTCCAACTGAGCCTTGTTCGGGGTCAGGAAGAACTCGATGCGTTTGAACGTCACGTGCCGCGCCTGGTAGACCTGGCGAGCGACAGCACCTCCGTCGAAGGTAACCATTTCCGTCAAGAGACGCAGGCAGGGAGAGATGAGATGCTCCTTTGATTTGACCGCAGTCAAGCCGCGGTTGAACAGCTTCAGCTGCTCCTTTTGCAAGAGATACTTGCATAATGCTACGCCGAAGTCCCGAAATTCCAGATTGGTGGAGATGGTCTTGAAGAATTGAGCGAGGACGGCAGGAACCGTGGTCAGTAACGACTCGTTGTTGTTGCTATCGGCAAACCCCCAGGTCTGGACCAGGTCCGGGAAGCAGACGGCCTCATTTTCATTAGTCTGCGAGAACTGCGAATCACAGTACGCTTTGAGAATGCGGAACTTTTTGGCTTTCTCGGCCTCGGTCTCTGCCTGCACGATTAAAGTGAGAAAGTCCTTGAATTTTCGTAGTCCTATTCAGGTTGTCAACATTCACGTTCCGCTGACCATTGGAGGTGAGGTACCTTGCTTAGATTCGGCAGGGTTTTGCTGGAAGGTCAGTGCAGTTCGGAGTTGAGTGTGAGAGGTAATGGTGACAGGAATTTCTTCGCCCTCCGGGGCACTGTCCAACTTTCTCCTCTTGTTTCTAGAGAATTGATTGTCGTGGGACGACATTGTGAGTTGATTTGGATGAATGCAAAGACGAAAGAAATCACCACCGGAACTGGAGAACGCGAAGATATCACTGCAATAACTGAGAACTGCCTCTCCGTCGCCCGGCCGGCTTCAGAGTTTTGCGGCTTCTGATTGGACAGTAAATATGGCACTGAGAGCTGGAATTTAGACGGTAGATGATGAAATGGATTCAACCCAACACTGTCAACGCAGTGCAGATTAGCATAGGTGGTAAGAGATTGTTGTTACCTTAGCAGGCAGTACTCCAAGAGTTGAGTTAAATCAATGAAGTATGACAAGGTCACGGGTATGATAATTGATTGACGGAATACCAACCTTGAACACCAACAGTGTTCCTCGGCACTACCGTCGCGGCCATGAAAAGTCCTGCCAAAACCGGAAGTCGCGCTAGAACTACCCGCCAGTTTTTGATTGGTCTGTGCTCTCTAGCATATGAACCTGAAGTATTCCAGTTGTGTTTCAAGGTTGGACTGAGGTAGGTCCACAGACTCAGTATAGTACCTAGTACCTACCTAGTAACTTACTACGTACTAGGTACAATACATCTGAATCAATAGATAGATAATTACTTGTCGACCGATCTACGTATCCAGTCCTCAAAAGTCCGTTTGACACATATTCCGCAGCAAGCATTGAGTACGATGTAGAGCATTTATCATAACATATGAGAGCTCGTGGCCGCAATTTACAGTAACTCCCCAGCCAGAAGAATTGTCACCACCAAGATACACAAAGACGCATTCAATCTATCTCAATGCCGCCCTACAAGGCCGACTAATCCTTTCCCACATCAACTCCGGCCTCACCATCAAGCCCTACAAACCACCACGAGTCAGCCTCTTTCCTCGCACGTCACAGCCACAAGCAGAGAGAACGGGGGAGAGCGGAAACATACATCAAGATCCTCGAAGCCCACAAACGACAACACCAGCCGATTCCGGCTCGGCAGCGTGACCTGCCGCCTCTGCACCTTGCCCTCTAGTTGCAGCAAGGAAGCCATCTCGGCTCGATGGCAGACGACGAAGCTGCTGTTTGTGTCCAGCTCGTGCAGCTCCACCCAGTATTCACCGGTGTACATGAAGCCGTCGTTGAGCGTCGTGCGGGATTGCTTCTTCTGCCTCTGCTTGTTGGTCGCGGGCATGAGGTGCACGGACATGCACCCGTCCGGGTGGTAGGTGAGGATCCCTCGTGCGTCGGGTCCCATGGGATGCAGGGAGGGGCCCTTGCCGTCGTAGGGGTCGGAGAAGTACTCGAGGAGGGACCAGGAGCCCACGAGCGCTTGTTCGATGTCATGATGGGTGTACATCTTTGGGGTGGAGGGAGCGGTGGAAGGAGGGGAAGACGACGATGTTGACAATGAGCAAGACATATTTCTGGTCTCGGCGGAAGAGCTGTGGTATACGAAGAAGACAATGCTGGCATCTTGGTGGGAAGGAAGTGAGTTGATTTTATAGTAGATCGATCGAGACCGGAAGAACTGTGTGTATAGTGTACAGCAGCACAGTAGACTCGATCGGGGAGAAGGTGGCCGGCCCTGAGTGAATGTGAGTGACTCGTGCATTTGCTCTTCAATCTGGTCTTGTCTGGCGATAAGTGTCGGGGTCGAGGTGATACGAATACTGTAAGCTACTAATCTTCCCTGTTCCCCGTGATAAAGTCTAATGACTCGGGGTCTTCTTCCACGGACGGACAGTCAATTAGGCCTGCTTCAGTCACCGGATGAGCCTCGGGATCGAGAGGAACGCTGAACCTTGATCCCGGAAGGCTGGTTTCCCGTTGGTGGGAAGACATCACCGGCGGTGGTTGTGTATACTTCGTGTGTACAGGGATCATAGACGAGGCGAGGCATAGATGAGAGATCCGGAGTCGTGACCGATCTGGTAGGAGTTCTTTCCATCATTATCGCCTCTTAGGAGACACGGCAGCGATGGCATGTGGCTTGAAGTATACTATAGTTAACGAAACGCAACGAACGCCGATCGGTCGAATCACCTACTGAAATCAGTACTGGAAATGGTTTCAACCTCTAAGTTATAGTATAGTGGTAAAAGAAGGAGACTCGAAGAGTTGCAACTAGAACACCAATCCCAAGGGGCGCCTCGGCAACACTTTCAGCCAGTAGGAGTCTCTGGTAGCATAGTCCTTCGTACGTTGAGACATGTCGACAGCGCGCGTTTCGTCGGTTTCTGGGTATTTCTGTACATTTTTGGCAGGATTGGCGTACAGAAAGCAAGAGCCCAGGAGTGATGACGGTCAGTGCTAGTCCAGACCCAACACGGTCATGACTGATATCTTTCTCCAAGCATAGTTGAATGTCGCCCACACGGAGTGTTCCCAGCGATGATAATACTGCGAGATGGGACACTCAGATGAGTTTTTTAAGTATATAACACCGCAGACATGAACCGTGGAAATTGCATGTTGGCTTGAATATAACTCGTATAACTCATCATCAGATTTCGGGGTCGATCCGACAGGTTGTGGACCAGTGCTCTAGCCATCTGCAGAGTAAAATATTTTGTAGATCATGACTCTCATAGTATTACATTTTATGACCCGCAACAAGAAAGACAGTATTGTTTTTATCACAAATTCACGAGGGGTATGCGTTGGGAACCTTGCCATATACATGCCTGAAGAATAAGAAAATATAAAGTCTAAACCAGCACCAAACAGAATCACTAACCCCACGTTCCACCACCACCACCTCTGCCTTGGCGTCTCTGTGCAGATAGACGCCAATCGTCTTCTCCGGCGAAGCGATTGTGCAGAGGCTGGATGCGCTCGGCCTTCTTGCGCTTCGAGAGTCGATCCGTCGGCGCAACCTTGAAGAACGTCGGCGCGGCCTCGACCAGCCACTTGGGTTCGATGGATGTGGTGCAATGCATGTACTCCTTCGTCGTAAGGACCAACGTGTGGTAGATGACGTGCTCAGAAGGTTTTCCGAACAGCGCGGAGCTGGGGTGCATGTAGACCGGGGTGCCTTCGACTAGAGTCTTGTAGCCCTCCTGAGGATCTTTACGAGCCGCGTTGCGGAAGAAGCCCGTACACAACGCCTGACGGACCTTGGTGGTGTTCCGGCCACAGGACACAATCTTATGATGGTACCGATCCATGATGCCCATCAACTGCTGACGGACATCCTGAGCACGACGGATCTGACGCGCTTGAATGAAGTTCTCAAAGCACCATGCGTTGTTGAATTTCGAGTTCTTCCATGCATTGTAAACATTGAGAAGAGTCAAGTGGTCACCGTGCGGGTCGTGAAATTTGGCCTTCTTCTGATCGGCCTGCTGCTGTTTCTCCTTTGGACGATAGAACACTGACTGGATGGACAACATGGCGACAATGCTTAGCATTTCTTCCGAGCACCCCATGTCGACCGAGGCAATCAGGACCTTGGCGAGAGCCGGCTCCATAGGGAAGTCCGCCATCTTCCTGCCCAGGCGAGTTAAGAGACCCTCGTCATCCAGTGCAGAGAGCGCGTATAGTTCTTCCAAGGCAGTAAGCATAGTGTTCGTCGGTGGAGGATCCATGAAATCAAAGTGCAGAAGATCGTTAATGCCCATTGCCTTGAGCATGAGAATGGTGTGGGAGAGATTCTGGCGTTGAATTTCAGGAATCGTGGTAGGCAACATCTCGGATTGGTAGGCCGCTTCAGTGTAGAGACGGAAGCATTTGCCTGGACCGGTTCTTCCTGCACGGCCAGCTCGTTGCTTGGCTTGCGCCTGTGAGATAGGGGTGACAACCAGCGAGTCCATACCGAGCTTGGGATCGTAGGCATTCTGCTTCACAAAACCAGGATCGATAACATAGTAGATGTTGTCGATGGTGATAGAGGTCTCGGCGATGTTCGTCGCGATGACAACCTTTCTGCCACCTGGAGGTGCAGGTTCAAAAATACGACTTTGCATCTCACTTGGCAGAGCGGAGTACACAGGGAGAATGACAAGCTCGGGGACGCTTGATCCCAGGGCTTTCATCCGCTCGTACAGAATCTCGCAAGCTGTGTCAATTTCTTCTTGGCCTGTTAAGAAGAGAAGAATATCGCCCGAATGTTCCGTCAAGTGAATCTGCATGACTGTAATCAAGGCTGCATCGAGATAGTCGGACTCGGGCTCCTTGGAGTACATGATCTCGACCGGGAATGTACGACCCGGGATAGAAAAGATCGGACAGCCGTTGAAGTATTCCGAGAACTTTTCTGCGTCCAAAGTGGCGGAGGTGACGATAAGCCGGAGATCGGGGCGTCGCTTGATTGTCTTCTTGAGCAGGCCGAAAAGAACGTCCGTGGCAATGGTTCGCTCGTGGGCCTCATCCAGCATAATCACAGAGTATCTCTTCAGTTCCGGGTCAAGAAGAATCTCTCTCTGAAGCATACCGTCGGTCATGTACTTGATCTTCGTCTCCGGACTAGTACAATCCTCGAAGCGAATCGTGTATCCAATCTCCGCACCAAGCTTACAGCCAACCTCTTCCGCGACACGCTTGGCAACAGACATGGCAGCTACTCGGCGAGGCTGTGTACAGCCGATGATACCATTGTTTGCGTATCCACCTTCGGCCAGGTACTGTGTCAACTGTGTCGTCTTTCCGGAGCCAGTGTCACCAACGACAATCAACAACTGGTTGTCACGAACAGCATCGAGCAACTGCTTGCGGAACTTGTAGACTGGCAAGCTCTCCCGCTGCTCCTTGATAGACATGCTGGTCCGTTTTCCGAAAGACACGTTCTTTCCCATCGTAACTCTCTTCCATTCGGGTACAGCCTCGTCGGGTTTCGCTTGCTGAGCATTCCGAAGATCAGCAGCGAACCTGCGCTCCTCCGGCGCCACCATCGGGTCTTGCCATTGTGCATTGAGATCAACATTAGCTGCTTGTTCCGCCGCTTTGTCCTGGGCTTCCTGCTGTCTGAGCTCCCTTCTGTCCTTTGCCAGGTTTGTGCCTGCCATTGCGGCTCGATTCATGGAGCCGTCCGGTGCCTTGACGACTCGAATGGGGGACAGCTCCAGTGACATCTTAGTCTGGCCCGCCAGGAATGGCGGCTCCTCATCGCGAACCTCGATATCAACATCCTCTTCTTCCTCAAATGTGCCTTCTCCGGTCAAAGTGGCATGATACTCTTCATCAATGTCAGGGTAATCGAGCGCTGAAACAGCCCCGGAAGCAATAAGTTGTTTGATCTCCCATCTTTCAGGGGACGTCAAACGCTTCCGGTTCTTCATAGGCCTGCCGTCTGAGTCCTCGATGATAGGCACATCCGAGCTCAAGTTACCATATCTGTCGTCGTCGCCAGTACCATCGAGGCGTTCCATATTGGCCCCTGACGCTAGACGCCGTTGAGGGATCAGGTCCATGCCAGTGACCTGGTCCACCTCCTTCATGGACAGGCCAATGCGAGAGCCTTGTATGCTGACGACCTTGACCTTAACTGGCTGGTTGCGGGACACCAAGTCCGAAGGATGATTGACACGCGCCCCCTCCTGCATTGCAGAGACGTGCACCAACCCATCAACCTTTCCCTTCACACCCAACAGATTGACGAATGCGCCGAAGTCCTTCACGCCCGTCACACGACCGTCGTACACTTTGTATAGGATAGGCTGGTCATCCAGCTCGACCGGCGGAGGCTTGCGGAAGTAGTCATCATCGCCCGCTCGGTCGCGGCGACTCCTGCGCTCACTGTGTCCATTGCGATATCCGTCGTCCCGGCTGCTGTATTTGCTCTTCGACCTGCCGAACTCGTCCACCTCATCCTCAGCCTCTCTCCTGCCGTAATGAGGGCTGTGCGATCTCGAGCGCGAGCGGTATCTGTCGTTGCGCCTGCGCCCGCGGTCACGGTCACGGTCGCGGTCGCGGTTGTCGTAGTCCGGGCTCCGACTCCGTTTCCTGCTGCTGCGATCCACCCGTGACGATGAGGGGGCTTTGTCCTCGCGCGCCTTGCCCGCCAGCCCTTCCAACATCGCAAACGTATCGTCCATCGCGTCAGCTTTCGCATCGCTCGCCTGCACATCCTTCCGCGAGGCATAGTCCTCCTCATCCCACGTTTGCACCTTATCCGGAACCGCGAGACCCTTGAAAACGCGCGCCTTCTTCTCGAGGGCTCCCAAGATATCCATATCGTCATCGCCAGTCGCCCCAGACGAGTTCTGGGTCTGTGCGTTCTTGGCCTTGTACTTGGGATGCATCGTGAGGACGAGACGATCGATACTCTCCATCAGACTTTGCGGGAACTCGGCGCCCATCTCCTCCAGGCTCTGCTTGAACTCGGCGAACGAGCCGCATTTGAGATGCTGGTCGATGACGAACTCGGCGAGGGTCTTGTCGCTGACGCCCAAGTGGTTCTGGAGCTCTCCGGTGATTCGCGAGACGAGCGAAAAGAGCTCCAGAGACTGGAGGTCATCCATGGCGGATGCTGTTCTTGTTTTCTTGTTTCGCAGTTGGGGAGGGGCAGGCGGATTGGGGTTCGCGTTGAGTAGATGGAAAAGTCTTCAATACAAAGGCCGTCCGAGATGGCGAGGAGGGTTGAGTCATTCGCTCCAGGTGGTTTTATGATGGGGGCGAAGGACAAGTTGATCTGCCCGGTTTGCTTCAATGTCCGTGCTGCCGGACCTACGACGGCACCGAAATGGACGAAGCTCACTGGCGCGGAAAATCGTTGTGGCGTGTTCGGGGTAGTCCGCCACCGATAAGATAAGACGCTGGCAGTATGTTTGTATGTATGTCTCCTCTACTAAGTTACACCCAGCCTCAGAAAAAGATCAAATTGACGAAAGCGCAGCATACAATGGATTAAGAAGCTTTCAGGCGGGAGCTTTCGATTTATGCCAAGAGTCATGATGAGAAGAAACAGAGTCAAGAAGTAACAAGATCAAAAAAAGCTCGCCCGCCAGCGCAGGCTACGAAAACCCCTCTTATCCCCGGGTGTTTTCATACCATTGAATCTCGACTGGTAGAGCCAGCGTCTGGAAGTGCCAGCCGAGACTCGAACGCAGGACCTGGGCGTTTACCTCTACGATCAGCGGCAGCGTTTCCCAAGTACGCCACAGGCTCTGCTGGTTACCGATTTATAACCGGAATAGATATATATAGGAGGATTGTGTTCCCTCTTCGGTAGGCGGTGTAGACATCGCCCGGACGTAGCTCGGAGGTATGTACAGCGCTACACCGCCGCCTGAGTTGTGCCGCCATCTAATGCATCAAAATACGGTGACTGCGGAGTAACTACCTAGTTAACTCGACTCTTGACTGCTTCGTTCTGTACAGCTTAGCACGCCTTGCACGTGTGACGGATCAAGCGAGATTCAACTCTTGGTTATTCGGAGTAGTGTTATCTCTGTACATACGTTCCTTTCCTCAGTTTCTAGTGTACAAAAATTCCGCAAGGATCATGATCATAATCCACCTGAGTTCTCTATATACAGAAGAACCTAACATGATAGGCACGAACATGCGCTACGACTCATTAGATAAGAGCCCCTTCAACTATGAATCTAGTGAGATCCTCCTTGGGCTCTTGACTGTTCCTGGGTCTGTTCCTCCTGGGCGGGTTCTTCCTGGGCACCATCTTCCTGGGCACCATCTTCCTGGGCACCCTCTTCCTGCAGATTAGCATCTTCCATAGGGTCGTCCAGCACAGGGTCTTCCAGTAAGTCGTCTGTGTGTAGCGCGTCGTCTTGCGCTTGATCATCAAGCGAAGCCATGCCGCTACCATAGGTCGTATCGGCGAACTCGGCCAACAGTTGCTGTTGTTCCAAACTCTGTCTCTCGATAGCGAGCTGCCGTCGGAGAGAAGAGTCCGTTCTGAGCTGCTTGTTGGCGGAGAATTCTGTCAGAGCCCGGACCATCCTTTCTTCCAACAACTCCTTAACGTGCATGGCCAGAGTTCGGTCTGTGAAAATGCCGCCAAAACGGAAGCTCAGCCAGAGATATAAGACGATTGACTTGTGTAGAGATTCCAAATCTAGGGTGTACTGTTTGTTGGCTGAAACCTCTTTTTCGAGGATTTCCAGATTGAGGCTCGAAAAGCTTATGAGATGACCGTTCGAGTTCTCAGCAACGGCGCGAGCGAACTCAATAGCTGCATCCTTGCCGATGACATCCTTGACGTACATAGGTGCGGCCATGAGAGTCAGTTGGTCAGGTATGCGCAGCCCTTCGACGGCATCAATGACCTCAGCGTTTTCGAGCTGAGCGCGAGGATCACACAAAAAGAATAATGGATGTACTTGTGCGAGCGACCAAATGCGCTTGATCAAGTATTCCAGGGGGGTGTTCGCCGGGTAATGAGCCGAGAACTTCTGGAAGACAGAGTCCGGAGCCTGCAAGCCCGCGGCAACAAGGGGAGGGGGCTCTATCTCCATTGCCTGCTTGATGTAAGGTAGATCAACTTCCTCGAGGGATGTCACCCAACCGACATTGTCTTCTTTATCATTTTGAGAAACTTTCCCGTGCTGCACAGCAGGCCTGTAACGACCTGCTCGTCCTCCGATCTGCTTGATCTCTGGTACAGTGAGCCGCACAAGCCCTTGCGGGAGCTGCTTGGTCACGGTTTCAAAAATGATACGCTTGCAGCTCCTAGAAGACGCGATATTAGTATCTGAGAAAGTCGGCGACTACCAAAAGCAACTTACAGATTGAGACCCATGCCAATAGCGTCGCTAGCAACTAGAAAGTCGTAGTCATTGTCCGGATCGTTGAAGAGTGCAGCCTGCTGGGTTCGAATTTCGGCCGGCAAACTCCCATAGACGATAGCTGCTCGTTTCCCCGTGGTCCTTTCAATCTGTGCTTTCAGAGCGTGAATTCCAAGACGCGAGAAGGAGACAACACAGTCCCCTTTCTGAAGATTGTTTAAGTTGCCTCCGAGACTCTGCTTGGCAACTTTCAATTCGTTCAGTCGTTCGTAGCGGTGGATCTCGAGTTTGTCACCAGTTAGAGCTGCCAGCTCTCGAATCAAAGGAACCGCTCGCAGTTCACCACAGAGATGAAGTTCTTGGACGCGAGCACCCAGGAAAGCACGGGTCCAAGCCCACCCACGCCGAGTATCACTGATCATTTGGATCTCATCGATGACACCGACTTCATATGACTGTCCTATGCTACACATCTCCACCGTATTGCTAACAATCGCTGCCGATTCATCACCATCACCTTCGTAGATCTTAACTTCATCACCAGTGATCAAGCTGCAGGGGATTCCGGCCGTCGTAAAGCGCTGGTACACTTCCTGGGCCAATAGTCGCAAAGGTCCAGCATAGAAGCCAGACTTGGACGCTTGCAGGCGTTTTAGTGCATGGTACGTCTTCCCCGAGTTGGTGGGGCCGACGTGTAAGTGTATTGTGCGCTGGATGGCGCGCGCTTGCGGGAACAACTCCGTCGGACGTCGCATGTCAGCCAATATCTTCTGCCGGACCTGGTTCGGTGTCCCATATTCCGCCGTGATATCTTCCGAGTACGTCTGGAATTCTATCTCATCTCTCAGTCCCCTGACTCCATAATTGCTGTAGGCCTGATGCAGGGCATTCTTGAGGCGGCGCAAGGCACCCGCGGCTGGAGGAGTTTTGCGATCGTCTAGTTTGCATGCGTTCAGCACCTGTCTTTCAAAGGCATCCCACCTCTTCAAGGATGTCCAGTCTTTCGCTCTCGTGAGCTTGGTGCGATAGCCTTCGAGACTTTGTTTGACGACCGCCACAAAATCAGGTCCGGTCGATCTTAGGCGATCTGTGGGAGGAGACTTAGCACGAGATGCATTCTTTCCTTGCTCTTGCTTGGCCCGATTGCCTCTATTCTTTTGTCCCTGATGGTAGTGAGAGGAGAAGAATTAGCATTGAATCAAAAGAATTCAGGAACAAGTGCTTGGCCATACAGCTTTTCTCAGCAGCACTGGCGAAGTTGCAAAGGTCCGATTCGCAGGACGGACTATTGGCTGCAGTGTGCACAAAAGGCATCGACTGCCTTTGCTGCTCCATAGGCGCATGCCTGACGCAGAAATGAGAGATTGAGGCCTATGCTATCGTGAAGTGGTATGTTCTTTCGTTCCGTAATCGAATGGCAAATCTGGTTGTTGAACGGGATCGTCCAACCAAGGCGTGAGGGCGCAGGGACGGGACGATATTATCACACTTATCACACTTATCACACTTATCAGGGTTGAAAGACTGGGAAAAAGAGATTAAATGTGAAGAATATTAGCAGAGAGATAGAAGAACACAGCAAGCTCCCTCTTAGAAATCCCCTCCGTCATTAATTCGCCATCGATAACGTTTTTTTTTTTTTCTGCCTTTACTCAAGCTGCGGCGGCGATAGAGTAACTTGGAAGACTTCCGAGGCGGGAGCGAGTGGCTACACCGCCTTCCCAAGGTTTATCCCCTGCGGCGGAACTTTGGAAAGCATAAAGTTCTAGGCAGCGGAGGAGAGAAGAGGGAAAGAGAGGGAAAAGGTGGGGACCGGACGGGACTCGGAGCTCGAGGGGTCTCAAACCATCTGCTACGTTTCATAAAGATAACTTACCTCAGTTAACTTAACTCAGTATTATCATCATCACCCCCTGATTGATCTTCGCGCAGCGCCCCTGTCGCTTGCTTCAACTTGTCTCTTACCTTGCTTGGCTGCTAGCTTGCATTTCCTTAACCCCCTCTGGTCTGCTGCCTTAAACTGCCTTAGCACCCCTCAATCCTCACCCCTCTTCCCAGTGTTGTGAGGTACAAGTTACAAGTCTATGCCCCAGCGGAGGGCTGCCCGTCAGCCAAAATGAGCGCCTCAATCCTCAACATTCAGCGCGACAGTAAGTCACTGGGTTATTTTCTCGTGCGCGCAATATTTCTCGTACTAATTTCTCCCTTTCTTTTCTTCAGTCATCCTGAACACCATTCGTTACGCGGCGGGGAACGAGGTACGGTCTCTCGCTCATTGCCTCTCCTGATAGTTCCGGCCCCCTCACCACTCTCACAATCCGCATACCGCTGACGTCGGGCGCTTGTAGTGGAAGGTCCTAGTCGTGGATGAGACCAGTCGGAAATTAATCGACAATGCCGTCAGCGAAGATGATATCCTCAACCTCAACGTGACCAGTAAGCGGAACTTCATGCCGAATCTATACATGTCGGTAGGCGCTAACTGGCCGGTTCCCAAGATGTCGAACAGATCGAGCACCGGCGCCCAACAAATGCCTCTATGGATGCGCTGTACATCCTCTCCCCCCTTCCGCATATTGTCGACTGTTTGATGGCCGATTTTGAGCGGAAGAGATACAAGAAAGCATGGCTGGTTTGGACGTCCTGTTAGTCGCAGCATTCCTTGGGTGTTATGGTTGATGCTGACGTACGGGGCAGTCCTCGATCCGCAACAACGAGCTAGACTAGACCGGTCGCAGATGGCGCATGATAATATCGCCAATGTTCAGATCATGAATGCCGATTATTTCCCCCGCGAATCCCGCGTCGTGACATTCCGGGATCCATGGAGCTTTCCAGTTCTGTTCCACCCTGGTTGCAACCATTTGATCCGTACGCACTTGGAAGGACTGGCTCAGAAGGTATGGCAAAAGCTTTAGCTCCACGGACCAGCTTTGCATGCTGACAACGGCGGGAGATTGTGTCTCTCTGTGCAAGCTTAGGAGAGTACCCGATCATTCGGTACTATCGGCCCAGGACCCCAACCCACGAGGCCGGCGTATTGTGCTCACACCTGGCCCGCTTCATTCAAAACGAGCTGGATCAATTCGCGCAATTTCAGCGGGACTTTCCGCCCCCATCGTCTCGCCCTCGCGGGGTTCTCCTTGTTGTAGACCGCTCGATGGACGTCGTAGCGCCTCTGCTCCATGAGTTTACATATCAGTCCATGGTGCATGATCTGCTGCCCATCAACGATGGGGACAAGGTCACGTACAAGACCGTCATCAATGAGGGCGGCGCCAATCAAGAAATCAAAGAAATGGAGATTAATGAGCAGGACAACGTATGGGTTGAGTACCGACACATGCACATGAAGGACGTACTGGGGAAGCTGGGCGAAGATTTCGCCAAGTTTCGAGCAGCCAACCCTCAATTCGCGGAAGAGTAGGCTTTTCTCCCATAATGTTCTCCCCTCCGATCCTATGTCCTAAAACTGACATGAGTTCCAGCAACAACAAAGCGAACGTCAACACAATCAAGGATATGCTTGCAGGCTTGACTGAGTTTCAGCAGGGCCGCGATGCATACACACTTCATTTGAACATGGCACAAGAGTGTATGGAATACTTCCAGGAGCACAAGCTTCTGGAGGTCAGCTCTGTCGAGCAAAGCCTGGCAACCGGCATGGATGAGAACTACAAGAAGGCCAAGCATCTGGGCTCCCAGATTGTTCAACTCCTCGATGATGAAGCGACTCGACAGCCGGAACGACTGAGACTTTTACTACTTTATATTATCTACCGAGGCGGACTGCTCGCCGGAGACATCCGCAAGCTCATGGCACACGCGCAACTTCCACCGCAGGACGGGGAAATCATATCCAATCTGGACCTACTTGGCGTGCGTGTAGAGAAGCCCCTAAAAGATGACAAGCCTCCTGTACAACCGCTATTTACTCGGAAGCCGCCAACGGCAGTCGACATGGAAGAGGAAAGTTTGACTCGTTACGATTTGAACCTCAAGTTGATCTTGGAGGACCTGGTGCGAGGCACCCTTGACACGACTGTCTTCCCACCCACGCGTCCACACACCGAAGGCGAGGGCTCGAATCCACATGACGCCTTGTCGCAAGCATCTCTCCGGAGCGCGAAACCCACGTGGGCGCGAACGCGCACAACCGGCGAGCAGCCTCGCCAGCGCATTATCGTCTTCATGGCGGGTGGCGCGACCTACGGCGAGGCGCGTACATGCTACGAGATCTCGCAAGCACACGCCAAGGATGTCTACCTGGCCACGTCCCATATGCTCTCGCCGGGGCTATTCCTGCGACAGATCGGCGACCTCAGCGTCGACAAACGACGGCTGGACATCCCGGCCGAGCGGCCGAAACCTATGGCACCTGCTCATCTCTTCGAGAAAGAAGCGCCCCCGCCACCTCAACCTCAGGCGAAGAAGCCCGTCGCCGCTGCCCCGCCTTCGGCCGCAATGGCCTCGATGTCACTTGGACACAAGGCTCCCAGCGGCGGGCCGAGTCCGGCTCCGGCTCCTACCAGCTCCAAGCCAGGCAAAGAGCACAAGGAGAAGGAGAAGAAGGAGAAGAAACGCCACCACTTTTTCCGATAGACTGTTCTGCCACTGTTGCCCCGTAGCCCTCTCCATAGCTCAACCCTGATCTCATCTAGCGCAGCTGTGATACCAAGTTCAATTGTCTGTTAGTTTCGAGCTATCTCCGGCCATAATTCATCTTAGCAAGATCAGCAAAGCAAAGTGTACACACATTCAAGGCAAGGGAAAATAATTCATGGACAATAAACAATAGAGGGTATCTAAACGTACGCCACAGAAACAAGGCCACTAAACATTCCCAGAACTCCCCTCCCCTCGCCAAACGAACTCAACCACCCCCAAGATACCTCAAAACCCTCTCATCCTGGTAGAACAACTCGCGCAGCCTCTCCCCGCGCTTCCTGGCATCCACCTGCCCCCTCCGCACCTCCTTCGCATTCAACTTCTGCACTTTCCCACCGCCCCTGGTGCCCCCGGCATCCTGACCGCCCCCGCGCCTCCGTCTTTTGTGGTCCCCCTCCTCATCCGATGCTTGGCCTGCACCTCCCAACCCCACCGTATCAACCTTCACTTTCCCTTTCACCGGCGCCACGATCCCCTCCCGCCCCGGCGCCCCCAGCCCCAGCCTACTGTCCGGGTCCCAGCCGTAGGCGGCCAGGTAGCGCAGGCCCGGGCGGGTGCGGTCCAGGTGCGAGGGCGGATGCGAGTGGGTGAGGCAGAGTTGGTGCGCGAGGGAGGCTTCGTGGGGGCGGGGGTGGGGATGGGGGGTGGTTTCTGCTGCGGGTTGGGTCTCTGATGAGGATGCTGCTGTGTAAGGGAGGTTGCAGATTTGGCAGATTTGAGATGTCGGGTTCGAGTTGTTGTGTTCGAGAGGGGGAGGGGTGGTGGTTGATGGTGGTGTTGGTGCGGGGTGGGATTGTGGACTCGCTGCTGCTGCTGCTGTAGCGGTGGTGGGGGTATTCGTGGTGGTGGTGGTGGTGGTGGTGGTGGATGGAGCTGTGGCTGGGTAATCTACTGTGGACTCTTCCGGGGTAGGCGTAGCGGATTTCGAGAGGACAATGGAGAGGTATTTGTTCGCGATGGTGGCGCCTGTCGTTGTACTAGGTGCGGTGGACGCGGCGGCATGGCGGTGGAGGGCGGCGTCGGTGGTGTTGAGGTCGGGCCCGTCGGAGGAGCGCACGAAGGGGACGCGCTTGCGGCGGATCCCGGCGCCGAAGACGCGTTGGTCCTCTAAAGGGAGGAAGTAATCTTCTTCTTCTTCTTCTGCGGGGTTGTTGTCTGGCATTGTAGGTCTTGTGGTGGTGGTGGTGGTGTTGTCGAGAAGAAACCGACAGGTAGATGAAAAAGGCAGGAGAAGTGACGCACTGCAGTGGCGGGAGATCGGCCGCTAAGCCGCAACCTCCTCCGCGCGGCCGCCGGACGGGCCAGATTTGTTGGACTTCATTTCGGGTCATCTTTGTCTTCTACAAATCCCCAGGCCAACTCCCTCCTTTTCTTAGCCGTGGTCTCTCCTTTACCTCGAATCTTGTCTTCTGTTTGAAGCCCTGCACTGTCGTCGTCCCTCCACCACCACAATGCCCATTCCCCTGATCGTCCAGGGTGTCACCGAGGGTGTCTCCTCCATCCCCTTCGCCTGGACGATCCTCAAGCTCACCCCCTGGATTCTTGTGATTGCCGTCCTGAAATTCTACTTTGGCGGCGCCCGCAATTCCTCGGAGCGAGTGATGCACTCCAAGGTCGTTATGATCACGGTACGATTCCCTTTAAACCCCCCCCCCCCCCCGTCTCTCCGAACCTCTCCCAACAATACTCCCCCAAGAACATCAAAACTAACCCCCAAAAAAAGGGAGGAACATCCGGCATCGGCGCGCAAATCACACAATCCCTCGCCGCCCGCGGGGCGCAAATCATCCTGCTGACGCAACACAGCCCCTCGGACGTGTTCCTGGTGGAATACATCGAGGACCTGCGGCGCACGACCAACAACCAACTCATCTACGCGGAGCAAGTGGACCTGTCCTCGCTGCACTCGATCCGCACCTTCGCCACCAAATGGATCGACAACGTCACGCCGCGCCGGCTGGACATGATCATCCTGTGCGCCAGCACGAACCCCCCTCAAAAGACCCTGACGGACGACGGCCTCGACGAGGAGTGGCAGGTCAACTACCTGGCCAACTTCCATCTGCTGAGTATCCTCGGCCCCGCGCTGCGCGCGCAGCCGGCGCACCGCGACGTGCGCGTCATCTTCGCGGGGTGCTCGTCGAGTTATATCCGGGCGGGCGCGTTTGATTTGCGGACGGTCGAGGATGTGATCAATCACCAGGTGTTGCAGCAGCAGCAGCAGCAGCAAAAGTCAGCGGCGGCGGGGCAGAAGGTCGGGAAGAGTGGTAACGGGAAAAAGACATCTACAGCCACCAACCACAACAATAGGAAACAAAAGCAGAGGTCGGAAAGTCTGTTCGGGATGAGCAAACTCGCCCTCATGGTGTTTGCGCACTCGTTTCAGAAACATCTCAACGCCTTCAAGCGGCCGGACGGCCACCCTCCGGCCGCGCGGGTCATCATGGTAGACCCCGGGTTCACGCGCACGCCCGGCATGCGGCGCTGGATGACGGGCGGGTCGCTGTGGGGTCTGCTGGGGTACCTGGTCACCTGGCCGGTGTGGTGGCTGGTGCTCAAGTCGCCGCAGCAGGGGGCGCAGAGTTTCCTGTACGCGGCGATGGAGGCGCGCTACGGCCGCGACGAGGGCGGGTGGATGATCAAGGAGTGTCGCGAGGTGGATGTGGCGCGGCGGGAGATCCAGGACGAGGCCGCGGGCAAGTTGCTGTGGGAGTTCAGTGAGAAGATGATCGAGGTCAAGGAGAAGGAGAGTGCCGTGCTGCGGGCGCGGGCCAAGAAGCAGGCGGAACTGGCGGAGGCGGCCGAGCAGAAGGCCGCCGCCGCGCCCAAGGCACAGACCCCTGGGTCGAGGAGGAGTCGGAAGGGCAATGGCAGTAGCGAGAGTGGTAAATAGACTGGCTGTATATATGGTGCGATATTTTCGGGGAGGTTAAGAGTGGAGTGCATACATGCATAGTTCTGGAGTTTAGGTAACTATTTCAAGACATCTCATCTATCCATCCACTCGCAAGACAACAACAACACAGCAAACACAGCAAGTGCGATTACACCAGGCATATCTCCAAGAAAGGAAATTCGTCTCATTCAGATCAAATCTATTGATGCGATTTTGGTTCTTCCGCCGTCGCCAAAGACATGCTAATTAAATCAACAGTAGGTAAGGTAGGTATCATTTACGATCAAGTTTAGTTTAGTTCTTAAGCTTCTCGAGGAGCTCGGCGGGGGGCTGTTGCCGGTATCCCTCAGGGTTGTTGCGGGTCCAGAGCCAGAGATCCTCGCAGGCCTGCTCGAGGGTGTGCTCGGCCTTCCAGCCCAGTTCCTGGATGGCCCGGCTAGGGTTGGAGGTGAGGTTCAGGACGTCACCGGCACGGCGGGGGGCGACCTCGTAGGGGAGGTCGCGGCCGACGGCGGCGGAGAAGGCACGGATCATCTCGTAGACCGTGCTGCCCTTACCGGTACCCAAGTTCCAGGCACGGACACCGGGGTTGTTGGCGCGGAGGTAGTTGAGGGCCTTCAGGTGGCCGTCGGCCAGGTCGAGGATGTGGATGTAGTCACGGATGGCGGTTCCGTCGTGGGAGGCGTAGTCTAGCATGGTGTTAGTTCGCTGGTGAGAGGAGAGGAGAGGGAATCTGAACGTACCATCGCCGAAGACGAGGAGCTTCTCACGCTTGCCAGTGGCGACCTGGGCCAGAAGAGGGAGCAGATTGTAGGGGACACCCTGGGGGTCCTCGCCCATGATACCACTGGGGTGAGCACCGGCGGGGTTGAAGTAGCGGAGCAGGGCACCGTTCCACTTGTTGGCCTCGGCCTCCTTGCCGGCCTTGATGGCGTTGTTGCGCTGAGCGTTGATCAGATCGGTGATAGCGGTCTCCACGGCGAACTTGGTGTTGCCGTAGGGGTTGGTGGGACCCAGAGGGCAGTCCTCGGGGATGGGGATCATGTTGGGGAAGCGAGTGGCGTCGCCGTAGACAGTGGCGGAGCTGGAGAAGACGATGTTGGTGACATTGTTGCGGACCATGGAGCGGAGGAGGCAGATGGTGCCGTAGACGTTGACGTGCCAGTAGTCCAGCGGCTTCTCACCGGACTCTCCGACGGCCTGAACACAGGGGAAATGTTTAGTATAGTACTTGCAGGTGCAATGGCAAAGCAGACGGGTTAGACGCACCTTGAGAGCAGCGAAGTGGATGACGCTGTCAATGTCGGGGTGGGCCTGGAAGACCTTGTCGAAAGCCGCCTCGTCGGTGACATCGAGCTGGGCGAACTCGGGCTTCTTGCCGCAGATCAACTCAATGCGGTTGAGAGCCTCGGCGGAGGAGTTGTAGAGGTTGTCAGCGACAACGACCTTGTAGCCAGCCTGCAACAAGGCAAGGGTGGTGAAAGAGCCAATGTAGCCCGTGCCACTGCGCGGTTGGGGATTGCGGGGTCAGTTCCAGTTCCGGCTGTAAGAGATTGGGGCGCAATGGTAGAACTTACCCAGTGACGAGAACTGAACCAGCAGACATGATGAAGGAGGAGAATTGGATTAGATGGCGGAGGGGGGAAAAGAGAGAATTGGAGTGAGGAAGGGGAGGGGGGGGGATGAGGGGATTGGGGAGAAAAGAAAGGGAACAGGAACTAGAAACAGGAACAGGACAGTAAGACGGGATATTTAAGGAGGAGTGAGTGGACTCATTGGGATTGGACTGGGAAGGGAAGAGTTGGCTCAGGCTGCTTTCGAGGATGGGAAACATGGTGGGGGGAGGAGGGGAGGGAGGCGGGCACAGGCATTGCAGTGGGTGGACTGTGGAGGCCCTGGAGGGGCTTTCCGGAGGAGGACCACTGCACCAGGTACCGTTTCGGTATGGTCAGAATGGTCAGACTCCCTATTTCTCCGTCTACACCGCCCGGCATAACCCGGTTTTGTAGTGGTATTTCCGGGTATGATGAGGTAATTTACTTATCGGGGGCTGACGCGGGCTGGTCTCGATTTGTCTGTTGTGTCTGTCTGGTCGCAAACAGACCATCCATTGTCTCTCGGCTGCACAAGTCAATTGTCGGCATAGAATGACACCGGTTGAGTAATCTACAACTTCTTGCTCCCTCTCATCTATCCTCATTGTGTATGTCCAACACACCCCGTTCAGTCTGTACAACAGTCTTACCTGTTCCTATCAACACAAAGAATTGCTTGTGCCCCGTTGGCTGATGATCACTGCAGTGCTTCCCAGACAATCCTCCCCGTAATGAGTGGTCAACGGGACGATCCAATCCACCCGGTTTAATTTACCCAAACCATCAAACCACGATCATGACACTTTTCAGGGACAATTCTCTCGGTCTCAGATGGGGAGACAGTCGCCGACTCGCCAGACAATAACTAACAAGAAACCGAACAGGGATGGACTGATAGCCAACAGCCACAGCCACATGCAAGCTGCAGGCCCGATGCATATGCCTGCCCTGCCGTAGCCGAGTCAATTCTCGGTCCGACTCGCTTATGACAGGGAAAAATAAATGAATTAGAAAAAGAAAAAGGGAAAGACATGCAGGAGACTACCAATCCTTCATATCCATGGAAACACCAACGGTCCAGCACCCTGGAAATAGTAATCTATCGACTCGCGCACCTCACCAAAACCATGCATCTTTAACCGACCTCTCCAGTCCAGGCTGAACCCCAATTAGCACGAGCGGGTCGGCGGTTCCACTGCGCAAAGTGGATCTGTGCTGTGCTCCTCGAGTTCAGTTCCGAGGGTCTTCTGCCCGCCCCCCCCGTGTGTAGGTTACAGGTTGCAAGTTGCTGCCAGTCAGGAAAGGAAGAAAGAGGTTGTCTGGCCTAATTCCTACTATCGATGGCACCACTGCAACGCTCGCCTGTGCTAACTTATATATCGGCTTACCTAGCCTAGTCTCGCCTGGGACTAGACTCCGGGGGCTGGTTCGGCTGTACATTAGTTCCTGTAGTAGTAGTCATATTACTGGAATCTTTTGCTTGCAAGTCCTGTCTACTTGCCTAAGACTATACAGGTGCCGCCGCTTTCATAACGGCAACACGTGACTCATCCTTCTATACTCTTATACTCCTGGACACCTGACGCGAAGAAAACCACCCGGCCCTTTCGTCCTTGGGCATTGTCTCAAGCTACAGATGAAAGGCTGATTTGCTCTTATGGGGATCCAAGCTCGAACGTCACCGCCGCCGCCTCGTCCAGTTCGTTTCCCAGATTGGGACAGGCGTGCTTCGTATGTGGCGGCTGTGGCTGCAATGACTGAGGGCTGGGAGATCGCGCGGGAGAGGCGTCTCCGGGTCGAGGTCCAGTGTTTCAACCCAGTCTGCAAATGTGGCCGGGGTCCGGTTACTGTGGTGGGAGAAATACCCAATGGAGTGGGACGAGTTCGATCGACCCTTCCGGCAAGACTTGGTGAAGCAGAGTTGGTGGCGACGGCAGGCAATGCGCGTCATGGCGAAGACGTGGATCGAGGGGATGGTAGTTTCAAGAATGTTGCGGAAGTTCCGCCAAATGGCCGTGAGGGGCCCTGGAGCGTTCGGAGCTGTCGGGAAGATTCTCCTTGAGATTGAGTGCCACCAGGGTCAGCACGCGCAGACTTGGGGCGGCACTGCGCAGAGAAAGCGCAAGGTCGGATTGGGTGACTTCGACCCAGTGCAGGTGCAGCCTCATCAGGCGGGAGAACTGAACCTGGGGGGGCCATTCTCTCCGGCGTGACAAGAATGTGGATGCGCTGGAAATATCGGCAGGCAAAGACGGGCAAGGTGGCGCGATATAGAGCCTTGCATGTCAGTCGCAGGGCATATAGATCCAGGTATGCCAGGCACGTTGCAATCGCATCGAACAACTCTGGTGGGAGGGACTCCATTGTGTGCGGCAGGTCAGATGCAATTGGGGAGTTGGAGACCAAGGGGGAGAGGGAAGAGGATGAATGCCTCGTAAGTGTGTGTGAAATTGTGCATTAGTGAATAAATGGAGTGGGACTGACCCCGTGGAGTATAACCTTGGATAGAGCATCAGAAAGGGAAAGTTGCTGGATTTCTGCTGAAACCTTGTTGAGTAGTCGAGGAGGCCATATAATTACTTTATCTTATGTAACCTTTATAAAGATGTATTGGTGTTTGGGTAAGGAACATATTGTATAGGAGTTTTGGTGATAACCACAGCTGTTCGTGAAGTGCGTGGTGTTTGGGAAGTGCTTGGCCTCCTCTACTAGTAGCAGCCGCAGCAGTAGTAAATTAGTATTCAACGGTGCGATCATGTCTTTTTCCATTGGATCTTGCATAAGCATAACAATATAATCAAATAGAATATGGAAGAAGAGCTATCCACACGACTTTCGGACATGTCCCCCAAATCTCGCTGTAGGACATCACTGAACAAAACTAATAAAGTACGTACGTAAAGTTGGTAGGTAATACATCATTGAAGAATGCACCTCGCATTCACCACCGCCAAAGGTTGGTCGACAGCTCATTTGGGCCTGTCTCCCTCCAATTCTGCGTCCGAGAGCACCAACCGACCCTGCCTGTCAGCTGTCTCTCTGTCTCTTTCTTGTTCTTCGGGTTTCAAATACCCCGGGTGCAGTTCTACTAAGCAGTAGATCACGTCTGCTCAACCCTTTCAGCACGAACAACGGCATGCCGCTTATGGCAGACTGCGATGTGTCTAGAGGCAAACCCGCTCATCTATGGGCCCAAGTCTGCCCGGCCTGACCGACACAAGGTCTCAAAGGTCATGGAGTACCCAGCATTTAGATCAGGCCTCATCACTATGTCCTCTCTGGCTTTCTAACCCAAAAGTTCAACGTCCAGACCGATGGCCCGCATAAACAAATTAACGTTTCCGAGACGCTGGCTGGCCATGTCTGCAGGAAGCGTCTTGCTGTACGTAACAGTTTCCATCACACGATCTCTGTAGAGGTAGTTAGCATCGAATCGATGGGTCATAGAAAAGCTTCAACTTACTTCACGGCAATGACTAGGCGTTGCTGCTGATCGGGGCTGGCGCCAATACCGACGGCAGCCAAGAATTGCCAGACGTACATATCGTCACCGGCATTGATGGAACTGGGGAAGATGTCGGCAAATGTGGGTTCCAGTGTGTCGAATAGCACGTTGAATTTCTCAACCCACTGCTGCCAATCTCGCTCTGAAGCTTGGTCGGCTTCCTTCACGATTTCCGCGCGGCTCAGGAGCATGGTTAGGATTCCTAGTCCGATCCTGGTCTTGGCCACCAGCTGAACATGGGTCTGCGCAATCACTAGTCCCAACAATCCAATGATGATATTGAACGGAGCCTCATTGACGTAGCCAAGAAGGCTCGGCATGACCGTCTGAGAAAAGAGGTCGATGGCTTCGCGGACGACCGGAGACGGCTGAGTCTCACCGGGCATAAGCTGTGCGCGTCGGACCACGTCCAGAGTGTCCAAGTGGACAACGATCATGGTAAGGATCGTGACGCGTTGTTCCTGGTCAATGTGACGGAAGATACGGGGAATGGCCTTCTTGCCCTTGGGGTAAGAGAGGAAAGCGATGAACGGGTGAGGCGTGTTAGTGTTGGGGACAATCGGCTCCATAACCTTCAGTTCGCGCCACAGTTTCTGGTTGAGCGAGCGAACATTTTGCCGCCACTCCATATGCTTCTGAATGGCCTCGGGGTCATTCTCGTCTGGGGGAGGAGGCATGGTGCGCTCCATATCTTCCATTTCCATCAGCGTGCTGTAGACGCCCTCGATGTTGGTCAGGATAGACTTCCGGTCGCTCAGACTCAGGTCGGTCTGAGGCTTCTTGGGTAACTTGCCACCCTCGGAGCTCTCGGGCCGCTTGAGGTTGAGCATGGGCTTCGGAGCCTTCGCATTGCCAAAAGAGATCTTGCCCAAGCTACCTTCAATGATGAGTTGTTTGTTCTTGGGCTTGGCCTTGGCAGCCTCGACGGCCCGCTGAACTTGCTGCTGCATTCTCTGCATGTGGTTGTCGGCATTCTGGAACTGTCTCCGGTTGCCGTGACCACCGAGGCGGTTACCAGTCTGGAGGAGATACGTCTGCGCAAAATGACCGAGAGGTTGATGAGGGTGTTGCCGAGGAGCACCGCGGATCTGGCTGTAGACCTGATAGTAGAAGTCTTCCGCCAAGACAGCTTCGGAATCCGTGTCCACGACATTACCTGCGGCAGCCACCAGTTGTTGGAGCTGGATACGGGTAATGAAGTTCTTGTCTTGCGGAGTCATCAGACCATTGCCCTTGGAAAGGAGGAAGATCTTGTGGTTTCGCTTGGCGCGCTTCGCATCTTCCATCAAGTATGCCACTCGTTGCTCTTCCGACAGATGCATCAGCTGTTGAGGATTGGTGATCACGGGTAGCTGGGCGTTGTTGGCCCGCATGCTCTGAGACGGCGGTGGAGGCTGTTGTTGCGGGGCTTGAAGGCCTCCCGGTGGGATCATCTGACGTTGAGGCGGCCCCATGTGCTGCGGGGGAAGATTGGCATTTTGCAAGAGGTGCATTGGCATGTTGGGAGCATGCGGAGCAAGCGGATACGGGTCGGAAACCATCGGCGGCTGGTGCAACAGCTGCGCCGGAGGCGGCACCCCCTTGGCAAACTGAGCGTGCAGAAGCTCAGGTGGCAGCTGTGCGAAACCTTCGGGCAGAGGAGGCATCTGAGCTCGCTGAAGCGGGTGGGACGGCTCGGGCATCGACTGAGGGAGAGACACCGGTATCTGGCCAGGCAGTGACGACGGGTATCGCCGCAACTGCGCCTCTACCTCCTCCAAGCTGAGCATCTTCTTTGCCCGTGCCTGGGCCTGAGCCTGAGCCTGCGCTTGAGCCTGAGCCTGAGCCTGAGCCTGCGCCTGTGCCTGTGCCTGAGCCTGTGCCTGTGCCTGGGCAATCATCATTGGCGTGGGTTCCGGTTTCTTCTGAACACCCCAGACGCTCGACTTGGCCTGGAGATCCGGGATATACCCGGGATCCGAGTACTTCTCATAACCGGTCCGTTTCGGCTGCACAGCGGCAGCGCTCACAGCAGGATCGGCAATGATGTCTGCAGTGGCAGGGGCGGCAGCAGGGGCTCTGGGCTTCTGGAGACTGTAGCGTATTTGCTCTTCGCCGATGGCATCGGCTACCTGCGCGGTCTTCCCAAAGAAATCGAAGTCCTTTCCGACAGGAGGAGCGCCGAGGTCGTCGCCGAAGGTGTCGTCGTTGAAGGCATCCTGATCGTCGTCGAGCTGGTCGCCCAGGCCATCGTAGGTATCCTCGAAATCAATGCTATACGCGTGTACCAAGCCCGTTAGTCATCTTTGGTGCAAGCCAATGGATTGTAGAAGGAGGGGGACCTTACGCATCGTCATCCTCGTCGCCGCCTCGGAATCCTTGAACAAGACGGGCGCGAGCGACCTCGGCGAATGGATCAGGGGTCTCGAAAATGCCCCGGCGCTCGGAAGGAGCAGCCCGGTCCCTGGGCAGGGTGGTGTCAAAGCCGAAGAAAGACATCTTCGGCAGAGGCAGGTTGGTTGGGGAACAGGGGGGCTGGTGGCTGGAGAGAGAGGGGGAGGAATTACCACGGCATAATTGTGGTGCGGGATGAGGTTCAGAGCCGGTCTGATATCACCCGCCTGACTAGGTGGGTTTAGGCTTAGCTGTGTTAGCCTGAGTGCCTGAGGCATGAGTACGTGAGGCGGTCAAGTTCTGCAGAAATAAGGTGCACTGCAGCCACGCCACCGCCTGGCGGCCACCCGCCCAACAACACGAAATGATTGTAACTGAGTTACTGAGTGGTAACACCCTTCCGGCAAATCGTTGTCAACACAGCCACAGCTCGGGCTACGGAGTACTTCTACCACAATAGACACGGGCTATACGAAGCTTTGGGGGCAATTTCCTAAGATCTACAAGGACGTTTCTATACATCAGTGGATAGATAGATCTTGCGGCTGCAGTCAATATGATAGACTCGAGCACGATCCCCGAGTTTAACTCTACCAACAAAGATGCAATAGTTAATAATTACTTAATAGTCAAAAGAGAACAGAAACAGGCTTGAGGAGTGGGTGGTCAACTCCCGAACAACGTACGTGGTCTGGCCAATAACCATCGGCGAGGTTACGTCGCCTCCGATTGACTACGGAGTATGAGAATTCCCATTCATTCATTCATCCATTCATGCTCCGCCGCAGGGCTGACCTTGTTCGTCCGCTTTTACTCTCCGTAGCGAACAGACGGTTTCCTCTCCTCTCCTGAATTAAGATTACTATAATTTCCCTTTGCTCCCTTTATTTATTTGATTTTTTTTTGTGTCTTATCAGCCCCTCCTCCTTCTATTTCCCCCTCCCCCTTGTTTATGTTCTACCCGGTCGCAACAAACCCGCGGTTCGGGAAAGACTCATACAAACACTGGTGAGAGATCGAGACCGTTGCCCCATAATAATTACACCACCCACCGCACCCTGTTCATCTCCGTGCTTGTCGCCGATCATCTCGAGACTTTCTGGCAATTCCGGCGCCTAGTCTTCCTTCCACTTCGTCCACTTCGTCCACTGCGTAGTTGAGATCTTACTGTGGGATCTCAGGTCTCCAGCTCTTTTCTTTTCCCTCTTCTTCACTTCATATTGTCGCTCGCTTTTTCCTCTTTATTCCCCAATTCTCCAGGCCACGCGGTCCCTTGCGAAAGGTCTCCATATTTACCACATTCACTCCGCTCTGCGCCAGTCTAGCCACGTCAACAGACTTGAGATTTTGAAAGCACAGAAACCTCGGTGATCATGGCTCTAGGGCCAGTTCGATATCTCCTGTTTGCTGTCACAGTCAGTTCTTTTTGGTTTTCTCCCAATCTCCTTTCATGGCTGACCCGATGCGCCTAGGGACTGGCACTTTTCTTCCTGATATCGAGAAGCGCAATCCCGATCCCGGAGCAGATCGGCTCGAAACTCAACTATGGATCCTCCTCGTCCTCGTCCTCTTCGTACTCCCAGAGCGATGCCGCCGCCGCATACTCATCCAACAAGGTCATCCCCGCGGCCGACCGCATGAACGCAACCTTTGTCACCTTGGCCCGGAACAGCGACCTTTGGGAGATGGTCAAGTCGATCCGCACGGTGGAGGACCGGTTCAACCGCAACTATCACTACGATTGGGTGTTCCTGAACGACAAGCCCTTTGACGATGAGTTCATCAAGATCACCTCGGCGCTCGTCTCCGGAGAAACCCATTATGGCGTGATTCCCAAGGAGCATTGGTCATACCCCGAATGGATCGATCAGGAGAAAGCGAAGAAGGTGCGGCAGGAGATGGGCGAGAAGAAGATCATCTACGGCGATTCGGAAAGCTACCGCCACATGTGCCGTTACGAATCGGGCTTCTTCTTCCGCCACCCGTTGATGCTCAACTACGAATACTACTGGCGTGTGGAGCCCAGCATCGAGCTCTACTGCGACGTCCCGCTGGATCCGTTCCATTTCATGAAGGAGAACAACAAGAAGTACAGCTTCACGCTCAGTCTCTACGAATACTATGACACGATCCCGACCCTCTGGGACACTACGCAGAAATTCGTCGGCGAACACCCGGAACACATCTCGAGCGACAACTCTATGGGCTTCTTGAGTGACGATGGCGGCAAGACCTACAACAAATGCCACTTCGTATGTATATCTTTCGGAATCACTATCAAGGGCGTGGCTAACTCGATCTATAGTGGTCCAACTTCGAAGTCGGAAGCCTGGAATGGTTGAGATCGAAGGCGTACATCGATTACTTTGAGACCCTGGACCATGCCGGTGGTTTCTTCTACGAGCGGTGGGGTGATGCCCCGGTCCACTCCATTGCTGCCGGTCTGCTTCTCGACAAGGACCAAATTCATTTCTTTGATGAGATTGGCTACTATCACGTGCCATTCACCCACTGTCCAACCGAGGAGAAGAAGAGACTGGACCTGAGATGCTCCTGCAACCCTAGCGAGAACTTTGATTGGAAGGGTTACTCTTGTAAGTTTGACTATCTCACCGGGTAGGTGTCGGGTTACTTACCATTGCTCGTAGGCACATCTCGGTACTTCCAGATCAACAACCTGGACAAGCCCAAGGGCTATGAGGCCCAAACCTGACTCCGCATGATTGGATTAATTTTGATTTCGGCAATCTTCATCTGCGGTATTTTAGTCCTACTCAACAGAAAATCCCGGGTATTAGTGGTCAACAGAGCAGGTCATCTGGTTGACCACGTACACGCTGGCTGGGAGTCCATTCAGCCGCGGAGGAAGGCCTAAAACATTACGGTTTTACAGTACAGTATTGGGGCGTTTCCGACTGACCCAAACATGATTATTTCGCAATTTTCACCCCTTCAACCCCTACTTTCATATTCCCCCCCGTGTCTTGGAGTGTTCGAGCCTCGGTGTTATCGGTCTCACATGTATTGTCATGGAGGCGGTGGTTATTTCTCCTTCAATTTTTTTTCGTCCCGTGTCATTTTGCGGCGAGCATCACGATTTTCAAGTGGATATCTGATAAGATGGAAAGTGTTATCTTTTCCAGAGACTGTCTCATAAATGTACATAGCTGTTTTAACGATGAACCGAATGCCTTTGAAGATGAAAACGAAAAAAAAAAGAAAGCAACCAAAATAGTACAAGGATAGAGCCCCCCTGCAGGGAGATCAACTTATCATCCGGCTAGACTCAACCATAATTCCCCGATGCACGCAGCCCCCAGTTTTTGCGGACGTTTAGTCCGTCTTGGGCTTCTTCGTACCATACTTAGATCTGGCCGTCAAGCGATTGGGAACACCACCCTGTAGCAGCCACCATTAGTGAACCGCGCTCAACCCTTTTCCAGAGGCGAGAGCAACATACCAAATCCATAGCCCCGCGAACCAAGTGGTACTTCACACCGGGACAATCGGGGGCTCTGCCACCTCTGACCATGACGACACTGTGCTGCTGGATATTGTGACCTGGATCGTGGGAAAAGAGACTTGTCAGCCATGTCGCTAATAACCAATTCCCCATGTAAACCCGCTCATCTCCCGGAGCATACACAACCCAGAGATACATCACATCCCCAGAAACCAGAGAAGGGAACAACGTAGAACCCACCTTCACCAGGAATATAGGCCGTGACAACCTTGCCGCTGCTCAGCCGCACACGGGCCGTCTTTCGCTCCCCGGAGTTGGGCTTTTTGGGCTTCGTGATACCGGTCTTGAGGCAGACGCCCTTCATCTGGGCGCGGCCGGTCACGGCGGGCGACCGCGAGCGCCGGGCCTTCTGCGCCACGCGGCAGCCGCGGCGGACTTGGTTGTAGGTCGCGGACCTGGACGGGGAGGTGGAGAAGGAGCGGCGCGCCGCTGCCGCCGCGGCGAGGGCGATTTGTGAAGCGGGGGTTCTGGTGGTGAGGGCTGCGAGAGCGGTGGGCGTGCGGAGGACGGGGGTGAATCGGGGGACAGCAGCAGCAGCAGCGGCAGTGGCAGCGGTCTTGATGGAACGGATGGGGGTGGTGGTGGTGGTGGCGGGACGCTGGACGAGCGTCCGGAGGGTGCGCAGGGCGAGGGAGGAGATGAGGGCGGGCATTCTGGCGGAGGTGGTTTGTGAATGATGCTATCCAAGCCGGACTCCCAGTCTCAAGGTACGAGACGTTCGAATTTCCTTCGACGGGAAATATGGGGCCACGTGACTTGGGGTCGGGGGATGGAGAATGGCACGCAGCAGAGAGTTTTTTGCGGGATGGGGCGGTGTGGTCGGCCGGAGGAGCTTGTGGTGGCAGAGCCGGACGCGCCAGTCGGGAGGGAGCCTACGCTGGCTCGCTGCTACTATCGATGTCAGAGCTAACCTTACCTACATTACCTTCTAATCACTCCGACTTGAACCATCATCCATCTACCCTCACCTTTCTATCCCATCCCCCTCCTCCTCTTCTCTCGCTTGACGACCTACACCAGCAACGCAATCATTGACTATCCCCAACCAAAACACAAATTATCCACACCACCGCCACAATGGTACGTCCACGTCCACATCCATCCCCAAGGGACCTCCATCAACGCCCTCATTATCCGCCGCTATGAACCTCATCCCATCCCATCCCAACCAAACCCAACCAACAACCTCAAACCCCCTCCCCCTGTCCCTTCCCAGCCTCCATCCTCATCACACCTCCTCCACCTCCCCCACCCTTATCCCCCTGTCCCCCCCCGGAACAACCAAACTAACAACCCCCCAAGTCCCTCCGCATAGCCCCGCCGGCCGCCCACCCAACCTCAACCAGCAACACGACGACCCGCACGCCCTCAGCGCACGTCTCGCTCCCTCACCCATCGAAGGGCGCCCCCTCGGCGCCGGGGCTGCCCGACACGCTCCGGAACAACCTGACACTACCAGCGGCCCGGGGCCCGCCGTCGGCGCAGACGGCGACGCCCAGCTCGGCCCACCCGCTCGAAGCGCGCCTGCTGGCCTGGCGGGCGACCCAGGAGGCCCTGAAGATGGAGTCGCTGCGGCGGGCGTACGGCATCGCCGAGCCCATCCGCCGCGGCATGGAGCTGAAGATCGTGCGGGATGGGTCGTTCCGCCCCGCCGTCATTGGGGGTACGCAGAACAACGTGCATGAGGATATCTTGGTGCTTGGGGGGCGGGATGCGGAGGTCGGGTGGGAGGATATCTTTAAGGGTAAGTCTTTCCATGGTGGTAGGGAAGGGCAGAAGGGGGGGGTTAATGGGTGGAAAGGTACGGCTGCTAACTTTGCTTGAACTACAGGCGACGAGTTCCGTGAACCCCCAACTTTCCATGATGAGATGGAGAAGAGATTGCGTATGGATTAGAGCATAGATTGCTTTGGTTGGGACTAGGGTTGAGGGTATTCGTGCTATGGTATCTTTTTTTTTAGGTTTCTATGTTCTTCAACGGTTCGACTGAATGGGATTGTGTTTCAGATTCTATATGACGCGGTGGTGCAGTCAGCGTCGGTGGCAGTAGCCTTTCACACAGTAAACAAATGGACTAGCTACAATCCAAGTACGCATGGATCTGCGGCGATGGAAACAACAGCATGGTTCATAATATATGTGCAGTTGTGGTAGTTTGTACATCATGTGATTCCCGGGCGGTCGCCCGGCAAGACACTATTGTGGACATCTGAACACGCTTCAAGACAAACCGGCGCCGTGTACCACAGCGGTACACATCGAAAGCCCGCTGAACGGAACCCCGCCTCAAAGTTCTGGTCCGTAACCACCACCCGCTCGAGTCCACGGGTGGTCTGATCTTGGTTCAGAGGCAAATGATAACGACATAAGCAGAAGGTGGAACGCTGCATCGACCAAGAATAAATGCTAACAAACGGCCTGCCAATTGTGAGGGAGGGTGAAGACGGGATATCAGGGTATATGTGAAGCAGATAACAAGTATGAGTGGCATCAAGCGACTCGATAGAAATAGAAGCTGGTGAGCGACCGATAGCACCGGAACAGATGACTTTCAGGGCACGAGCAATGACTGCTGCTGGACCCAGAACGCTAAAACCAGCCGGACGCCGTCTTTGGCGCACAGGCAGGTAGTTAACCTGGTGCGCCGCCTTTAATGCCGAAGCAGATAGACTAGGTATCCTTGGGAAATCCCAGAAATGGCTTATAGCCATAGACAATATGATCAACGGCAAGGGGTAGAATACGTGGCTTTGCAGGTGACAGCATGAGAGGACGACGTCAGAGAACCCGAGGGAATTCATCCCCTTGTGGTAGTCGTCTTTCCGACACGGGGACCTTCGAGGCACCAAATCAAAAACCCGTGCTCATTGAATGATGCAGCGACATCCAGGGCTACGCTCGCTGGATTCGCGTTCACGGGTGTATTGGGCCTTGGCTCCCTTGGCATCGTCTTCGTCCACGATCTCTTGGGGCTTTACGGTCATGTGCACCACATTAGGAGCATCTCGGTTAAATCGGCAGTCTAGGAAAGTCAGTATGGAGACACGATTGAGGCTCGTAGGGACTGCCGTACCTGATAATGGGGACTTGTCGTCCAGGAGCTTTCCAAAGGAGATCAATCGAATCGAACTAGGCGAGGACGGCCGTGTCTCCCATTCTAGCAAGACCAGATTGTCAGCCACCAACTCTAAAGCGCAGGAGCGGTTACCATACCTTGTCGCCATTCCCTCCAGATCAGTTCCTTCAGTGTATACACGCTCATGGCGAAAGGATCCAGGTTTTCAACATTGACTTGTTGCTTCTTGAGATATTTAGCATCAATCTTGAACGGGTGCCGGGAGCCAGTGATCAACAATAGAGTGATGACTAGCTGTGGTCCCGAGTCGTCCTCTTCCTTTACATTCTGAAGGGAAGCCTCGCCCGCGGCTACTGGAGCTTTCGGTTCACCGTGATCGCCAGCTGATGCGCTGGCAGACGGAGCATCGCTGGGGTTCTGCTGCGAGGCATGTGTTGCTGTGGGGGCTTCGGCGACATTTGCTGATTTTCCATCTGTCAGACTCAGTTCCTGGGTCTCATCACTCGTACTGTCCAGGCGTGGAGTAGTATTCAAGGCCTCTGTGGACTCCGATGATAAACCGGGGACAGCAAGTGGTTGTAGAGGTTCGATGGGAGGAACCGGCGTAGTGACCGCCGGGTCGCCCTTATTGCCCGTGCTGTCCGACATGATGACGGCGATTGTATAACTTGAAATGCGAGATAACGCTAATGAAAGCAAAGCGACGTGTCGAGTTGAGAAATTGCGCGCGGAGAAAGACCAGAAGCGAAGATGGTGATGATTATTTCTCCGGTAGATCCGGGGCGTGCGACCGACGTCGTTATTGGAGGGGGGAGGCGGGAGACCCTGGGGAGGTTTCAAGGAGAGGGAAGACAACGACGAACCCAACAGCGCGCAACCCGAACAGCGACAAGAAGGGAGGGGGGCCCAAGGGGGCTAGACTAGATAAGAAGCGGAGAAATCCAAGGACGGCGCGAACAAGTGACTAGAACTTCGACCGGTTGTAGGAGATGAAGGGGGCCATGCGACCCGAGGGAGGCGAAAAGGGGACGTGGGGGGGGGTTGATTGAGGAGGCGGGCAGTTGGCGTAGAGGAAGGGAGGCGATGACAGAGCGGGCAAAAGGAGGCAGACAAAACTCTAAAGTACGCCTCCTGAGGGACTTAAACAAGACGGTAGGTTAAAAGATATATACTAAAAGGTTATAAAATATTGCCAATAGATAGAGTGGGAGTAAAGAGTCACAAGAGAGAGATTGATAGCGGATGGTGGGTGGATGATGGTGATAGTGGTTCGTCAGTGACGATGAGGAGAGGGAAAGGGAGGGAGAAGGAGAGAAGAACCGCCCCCGTGACTGCCGGGAAGAAGCGCAACTTCAAGACGGGAGAAATTAAGGAAAGGGGGGATGTTCCAGGCGGGCGGCGATCCGGTTGGGCGCGCCCGGCCTCAAACGGAGTTTAGTCTACCAATTTGTCACTTCAGCATGTTTCGGTGGGCCAGATTCAGATTCACAGATCGTTTCAATCAATGCTTCGCTGCTTGTTCTTCTCCTTCTTTTCGGCTTCTCTCGGACTTCCTGGACTGCCAATGATCATGATCTATTCGAGAAAGTCCATCAGTCCCTGTCTGCAAGTTCTGAAAGATAAGAGTGACTGGCGTGCTGTCAGAGATCCTGCATCTACTCCAAAAGCGACACTGACACTGACACCTGTCAAGCTCGTATGCATCGGTCAAACTCGCGCTGGGCCTCCCTCATAGTATCAATCGACTATCATCAACAATATGCATATTACAGACGTCTCTTGATCGCTGCAATACCCAGATACAGACCGAGGACGTGGTGCAGATCTTGATACCAAGAACCAAACTGGGGAATCGACACCGGAAGACCCGCTACGAGGCATTGCTTAGCTCTTGTCGTTACTATATATATCCCACAACGACGACCTCGCCTAACCTTCAAGTATTGTATGAAGTACGTAGAGCATTGCTTCCAGCCCTCGAATTGGACCCTGATTGTCGTGAGAAATGAATGAGTCACATGATGATTCAGATCACAGCTGAAGCGGCAGAACAGACTTGAATCCAATCTGGACCGCCAAAACTCCCGAAGTCACGCCATGGCAATGGCACCATGTACTGCTATGCATTCTTGGATGACCTCCTTATCATATTTCTCTGACTGTCGCAGAACATACGGAAAGGGCCCTGGTTTTATCACTACTGATCATTGATTCACCAAGGCAGAACAAGACCGATGCTCTTTTTTGCCTCCATGAGGGAAGTTGACAGTGACACTAGTGTCTAGTATGGACGCTAACCCTTGTTGTTCCTCCAGGGCTCTATTCGCTTACTGAGTAGATGATCTTCGTCCAAAAGTACTCCCCCCTCTTTCAATATTTGCCACGCCTGTTTTCTCCGCTCTAGACCGATGGCTGTAGGCGAGAACCGTTCTTATCGCCATCGCCTGACCCGTTCACCATCACGAAGGGACTGCGCACGTGGACGGTCTGGCTTCTCACACGAACACGAGAGGTTAAATCTAGACCCATGAGTTCTGCTTCTCAACACCCCGCCTGAATGTTTGTGAATATGTCAGGCAATCCATGGGTGTTGCTTGGTCTTGTATGTGTTTGAACCATCCAGTGACCGGCCCTCCCAATCAGATCTATGTGACATCATTCTTGCCTTAATCTTCGTCAAAGACGATCATTGTCCACAATGATGATCAGAGCTGGAGACCAACCTTCCAACTCGACAAACACGAGGTATTTAACTGTAGGGCTCAAAGAACGAACATCGTATCTGGAGGAATTGATGGCATCCAAGCCGCGAGCACTTTAAATTAAGTTACGATTGATCCTTCGGACACGATGCAGGCGGGGGTCGGCTGCAACGATCAAGCGGACAGCAAATGATTTCGACCTGTCATGCAATAGTCTAGAACCTGATATCCGTATGTGTTGACCGATCCTTACTCAGTCCTTTCTGATGTAATGGACTGATCTTCATCCTGATATAATTTGAGGTCATATGGCCACACTACAATGTCATATAACGGAACGCAACCATCAAGCATACTGCTTGCTTCGCCAACCAACACCATCTATCGCTCTCAAGTTCCAGCGAGGGGTTGCCCTTCCCAAGGAAATGCTTCGATCGCCATTCTCGACGCCGCGCAAGTCGACCCAGGAAGTCCCCATTCAAGGCGATGCCAGTGGCCTGAGCCTGGAATTGAATATCACCGAGCCAGCCTTATTCGCCCCGACCTTATCAGACAAGCCAGCAGTTCTCCGTGGTGAATGTCGATTGACGGCGAAAGAAGCTGTGACAGTGAAACGACTGACCGTCAACCTGCGCGGTACAAGCCATATCGTGTGGCCACATGGTGAGAACTATATATGGTTTCTAGAAACTAACTAGAAACTTCCCTCCGGAGTTGGCTATTTGTCTAAACTGTAATTGCTTCAACAGGTATTCGCGAACGCCGTACGGTGACAGACAACACATTGATACTGCTTGGTCCCGAGGCGACAGACCCGGTGCTTCCGTGTTACCTTGACTCAATTCAGGAGACTTCGTCATACCAAAAGGCGCACAAAGGGACCACCTTATGGAGTGCGATCTCGGCTAGAGTGGGATCGAACGGGCGTGAAGAGCAGGACACAGGGTCTAAACCTCAGCGACTGACACCCGGGACCCACACATTCAAATTTGAAATGGTCCTGCGCTCCCATCTGCCTGAATCTATTCACGTCCGGCAGAGCGAGGTCCGGTACCGGATCCGAGCCTCCATTGAACGACCGGGCTTCTTAAATCGCCCATTCTCCTGCAGCAAACCCATTACCGTCGTTCATTGTCCCGCAGAAGATTTCGTGGATGATGCTGAACCGATATATGTCGCTCGCGCTTGGAAAAATCTTTTACAGTCGGATATTCTAGTCTCGAGGCGAGGGGCACCTCTTGGGGACCTCTTACCTGTCACCGTGTCATACACAGAGCTGGGCCGCGCCAAGTTCCGTGGGCTGCAAATATTTGTCTCGGAAGATGTGCAGTACCACCAGCGGGATGGTCTAACTTGCTGCAGTGGCCCTTTCAAACGAAGCCTAGTTTACGAGAAAATGGCAGGACCGGTGTCAACGACGGCGTTGAGACGAGCCGACACGGAAGAACACCCAGCATACATTGAGAAGGACGATTATATCACCGCCAAGGCGGTCGGGGATGCCGAGGCACGAAGCCGATCGCCGCACGATGGCGACACGGAACACACCGAACTCAGTCTCCAACTTCCAATACCCGTTTGTCATCTTCATTCGGATCCAGCAAGGCCACAAGGCATGCATTTTGACACCCGGTACAAAAACGTTCGAATTATCCACTGGCTTGAGGTAAGATGATGCGGTTTTTGTTGGCCTACGAATTTTCACCTAGACTAATCGGTGGCACTTCTCATAGTTTGCCTTCCTAATGGCCAAGCCCGACAATTTGAACCCGAACAATGAGCGCATTGTGCAGAAAGTTGCCCACGTCCCATTGGCACTGCGCTCTTGTTACGCTCAGCAAGCCAATGCTGCGCTGCCGGCATACTCCTAAGACGGTTGGGGTTGCAGCCAATAGTATGATCGGGAAAGCTTCGGAATGATTCCTGGTTGGACTGCTGCAAGAAATCTCCAGTCGTGTTGAAGCTTACTCGTGGCCGTGGCCTGCATCACAGCACCTGGGCATGAAGGCCCGTGGGCGTGTGGGAAGTGGAGCCCGTGAAAGAGGAGTGGGTACTCAACCACCATTAGATCGTGAAAGGGTCCCTCAAACTTGGCTTTCTTTGGATAAGAAGCCAAAAAAATCTTCAAGAAGATCCAGCGAGATTCTTGCAGGCTTGCAGCCATGGCAGCATCTTCACTTTTACAGGCCTTGCCGCCACCGAAAGAGTGGGTACCTTACATTTCCGGATAACATCCAGTGGGTCGTCCCGCTTATCGGCCGCTGTGCAGTTACATCATTTGCTGTCCGTTGACGATCTTTCCACCTGGAATGCATCATTCTCACATCATATCCCATCCCTCCTCTACCCTCCTCCGTCCGAAACCACCACATACTTCATCCCGAAGTCCGTTACCGAACGGGCCTCACGCTGCTTCGGTAAGCGGCGCCCTCTTACTGTTCTCAGTGTTGTCCCACTGCGCTGCCCGTCGTAGCGAGGCCCCCCCCCGGTGATGTCAGCTGGGGTTGAACAATCGGAAAAACATTTCGAAAAGGAATGCCCATGGGACGGTCAGGGTCATGGCATAGGACGTGGGGAGTGGAGGGCCACCTCCAAGGCTCCAATCTTTTCCCCATGGGTAACCTTCTTTGGATCAAGCGTAAAAGGTAGCGAGCGCTCCACCGCTCGTTGCCGCATGCAGTACGCAGATTCTTAAGTTCACGTAGTCCTCTCGCACTGCTGGCATATTCTTTCAAATCTTTAATCTTCTCTCTGTCTCTCCTTCCATTCTCTCTTCATCCCCTCACTCTACTCCTCCTCCTCTTCCTATTCATCTATATACCCCATTTCTCCCCTGGGTTCCACATACAAGTTTCTATCATTCTGGCATCGTAACATTCTTTCTCATCATGGCGCCTCCCACATATGCCGGCTTTACGGGCCGGCGACTCGGCCTCGCGATATCAACAATTGCGACTATGGGCTTCTTGCTCTTTGGTTATGACCGTACGTAATCTCTTAAGGCCTTTTATGAATCTTGAAGCTTACAGTCTACGCAGAGGGTGTCATGTCAGGTATTATTTCTGATCCGGCTTTCAACGACATGTTCACTGCCACCAAGGGTGACTCGGTCATGCAAGCAACGGTTACTGCAGTCTATGAAGTCGGTGAGTGACTTGAGCTGGGTGCCAGGTCAGCGACTAGCAAGCTAACCCGCAGGACACAGGCTGTCTCTTTGGTGCCATCTTCGCCTTGATTTGTGGTGAAAAGTTGGGGCGGCGTCTCATGGTCATCTGGGGTGCAACCGTGATGATCATCGGTGTGATCATCCAAGTCACTGCCATGCCCAATTCGATCCCACTGCTGCAGTTCATCTTCGGCCGTGTGATCACTGGTATCGGCAATGGTATGAACACGTCGACTATTCCAACGTATCAAGCCGAGTGCTCCAAGACTAGCAACCGTGGTCTTCTTATCTGTATTGAGGGAGGCATAATCGCCATTGGAACCATGATCGCTTACTGGATTGACTACGGAGCCCACTATGGTCCCCAGGACCTGGTCTGGCGCTTTCCCATTGCCTTCCAAATCTTTTTTGGACTCATCATCATTTTCGGCATGTGGAAACTCCCCGAGTCTCCTCGTTACTTGATCGCCCACGGCAAGGTCGAGGAAGGTACTCGGGTCCTTGCTGCCCTCGCAGGCGAGGAAATCGACCACCCCCACGTCCAGCTGGAGAAGAATCTCACCCTGGACTCTGTCCGAGCGTAAGTGACCTCGATGATGGATCTTCAGATGCCTTGATAACTGACCTTACCCTCCAGGTCCGGAAACTCCCATGCTAAGTTCAGCGACTTGCTTACCGGTGGTCCCTCTCAGCACTTCCGCCGCATGCTGGTCGGTTCGTCATCGCAGTTCTTTCAGCAGATTTCTGGCTGCAACGCGGTCATCTACTACTTGCCCGTGTTATTGGAGGATTCTATCCACCAGTCTCACAACTTCGCGCTTCTGATTGGCGGTATCAACATGATCTGTTACGCAATCTTCGCCACATTCTCGTGGTTCTTTATCGAAAAGATCGGTCGTCGCAAGCTGTTCCTCGCCGGCAGCTATGGTCAATGCGCTGCGATGATCATCGTCTTTGCCTGTTTGATTCCGGGCGATGCGGAGAGTGCTAAGGGAGCTATTTTTGGATTCTTCCTGTACATGTGCTTCTTCGGTGCTACATGGTTGCCTCTTCCGTGGCTCTATCCTGCCGAAATCTCTCCTCTTAGAACCCGGTCCAAAGCCAATGCGGTGTCGACCTGCAGTAACTGGCTTTTCAACTTTACCGTGGTTATGATTACGCCTGTGATGGTCAGCAGTATCGGTTGGGGAACTTATCTTTTCTTCGCCGCCTGGAACGCCCTCTTCATCCCTGTCATTTGGTTCTTCTACCCCGAGACCGCCAACCGCAGTCTGGAAGAGATCGATTTGATTTTCGCCAAGGGCTATGTCGAGAAGATAAGCTACGTCCGTGCGGCCAAGGAGCTGCCCAAGCTCACTGATGATGAGATCGAAGCCAAGGCGGCCGAATATGGCATCCTCGGTGACGAGGAGAAGGCTGAGGAGCGGATTGCCGAGAAGAACCCTCCCCTGTCTGAAGAGTTTTCCCAGTTCCAGCCCACTCAGCTGTAAGGGGGATTGCAACAGCGCATGAGAGTTTACATTTATGATGATATGCCTCGCAACATGAATTATATACCTCTTTGTTGTTCTCTGTTTTGTTGAAGTGTTGCCGAGGCCAGTTGCTGGCCAACCTTGCCTACGTGTCCTTGCCTGGTGCAGGATAGGCGTGCGTGTGTGTGATGTGTTGGGCTCAGCTTTCGTCGATGCATGGGAGCTAGAAAAAGCTTCAAAAGCGAAAGTCTCTTTTCTGGACAAGATTTCACTGCTACGAGGTGGGATGTGGATATCAAGCAGTCATGGACTCGCCTGTCTTGTCCAGGGATACAGGTTATAGGTGTGGTCATGTATATACCAGTTTTGCGTTTAATGTTCTGCTTCAATAGAGCAACCACTAGATTCCATCTTCATTGAGATTCTTTCTCTCCTCAGATCCGTCCATATTTCCTAGTAAATAAATCTCCCATTGATTCCTTAATCACCCCCACTCCTCAAAACCACCAAGTCGAAAGAGTACCGAGTCCACACACAGACTACAGCAAGATCTTGCAAGACCTCAGTGCACTGCACTGCATGCGGCGACACCCGACCGGATGGATGGGTTTTGTTTCGACCCTTCCAAGCTTATCTCTGGCCCAAGCATGCCAGCATGCCAGCGAAAGTTTAAACTTCTCGACCTTGCCCAGGACCGATCTAATCCTGGCTTCTACTTATCGACCATCTACGTATAGAGAAAGAAACCTGCAGTTGCATTTGCGACGAATCCTTCATTGCAACTCTCCACGGAGTGAGATCACCCATGTGATCTACAATACAAACAGCAGCACGCTACGTCAGTGTCTTCAACTCTTCCAAACGGATGCAGTTTAGGACGTGGCCAGCAGCGCAATTAGACTCGGGAGGGTCTTTTTGCTCTGGAATGAAAAGATTCGTGTGGAATGCTGAGGGTGGTAGGTTTTACTTGGAGTAAGAAAGGTCAATTTCAAACTTTGCTGGCGGTTTTCTTGGGTCCAGTCGTCGCATTAAGCCTTCTTGGTCTTGGTCTTGGTCTTGGTCTTTTCTTGGGTCGGTCCGGTGTTGTTGTTGCTTGCTTGTTTAGGTTTTGGCTTGCCAAGTTTCTTCCCGGAAGGGTGAGAGGGAGAGAGAGAGAGAGCCACGGCAGCCTCGGTACGGCGCATGCGAGTATGTGCATATGCCAGCTCAGATTGGAGGTAAGGAGGGGGGGGAATCTGGGGTTACAGATTTCATGATATGGACTATGTTGTTCGTTCGTCCCTGGTTTGTCCCTGGTTTGTCCCCGCGATGGTTGATATGTGGTACTGTACATGCTTGACGATGTATAAAATAGTAGCCCTGTGATATTAAAGGAGAGCAACAGCCTTTCGTATCGAATAGGATGATCGTGAGGTCTGAGTTCGGTCCAGTGAGATACTGATGATTGGCCGGTGCCTGCACTGCTTTAGGGTAACCTAGCGCCTGGCAAAAGGTGATTATTATTGAGAGAGATAGAGAGAAATGAGAGAGTCATTTGCATGAGTCACAAGCATTTATAATGACTATTTCGACACTTGAGAAGTCACTGCACTACTAGGTAGGTATACTGAAGCACTTGCCGAATTCGACCGCGTAGCCCGGCACCGGGAGACGGACACGTGCTGTCAGCGGGACCGAACCCGAACGGCGATCTACACCAAGCACTGGGAACTACGAACCACCCCGTAACCTAGCATTGGATATCACCAATCCATGTGATTCAATCCCTTTACTCTTCCCAGAGTGGGTCAAATCTATACTTTGTCAGAGCATGGCAGGAGCTCCGGATCCTTCAGTCCCAACAAAACATGAATCGGCCAGCGCCTGAAGCAAGCACGGCCGATTCCGAACCTCGCAAACGCCGTCGGCCGGCCAAATCGTGCGAGCAGTGTCGCCAGCGCAAAGTCCGATGTGACCGCAATGTCCCCTGTGGTCCCTGTAGGCGCTCGCGGTCCTCAGTGGACTGTTCATATCGGGAGAACCTCCGTTCCCCGAGCCCAGTCGCGATTGAGCAGACGTCTCTGCATGCGACGCAACTGAGTGCTTCGACTGCGGGTCCAGCTAATCATGTCCCTCAGGAGACGCAAACACCAAGTCTGACAGCTAATGGAACTATGGCATCAGTCTATCACCCTGAAGTAAGGAACTCAGCAGATGGACTAGTTAACACCCACGAACCGCCTGCCATTTCGCAACACGGTTCATCAGTTCGTCAGCTCCAGGACCGGCTGCAACGTCTAGAGGCGCAGCTGGCGGACTCATCGACTAGGTCAGATCAATCTCTGGAGCGAACCTTGCGAGATCTGTGCTGCAAGGTCCAGGCATTGGAGGAACGGCTGTCGTCGCAATCCACGCATTCTACCCCGAGAATGGAGCCGGAAAGAGAAGGGCATGGAAGGCAGGAACAGATGTCGACTATGCCTTCAACACCTCTGCGGCTGGATGCGAAGGTGAGAAAGATGAAGCTGTTTGGTCCGACTCATCATGTCTATACGTTGGAAAAGGTAGGGGGTAAACCTGACTCCGTGAAGAGACGTAACTCATCAGCTAGCAGCTTCAGATGCTCGGTTCCCTCGCAGGCAAGGACCCGCAGTCTGCGTATCCGGAGCGCAAAGCTGAACTGGCGACGCTCATCAAGGAATGCAGAAACCTCCGCAAGTCAGTCAAAAAGAGACAGTCTCTGAAACCGAATGACCCTGTGTCAGACCTGCTCAATTCGATACCCGCAGAAGATGTGTGCGACGAATTGGTGCGCTGTTACATGGACACTTTCGAGCCTGTGTATCGAATCCTTCACTTGCCAAGTTTTCGAAAGGAGTATCATCGGTTCTGGGAGGAACCTCCCGCCAAGGTCACGCCTTTCCTTGTTAAATTGACCTTGGTACTCGCTATAGGGACTACATTTCATCCACGGCGAAGCAAAGCAGGCACTGAACATGACTCGCGGCTGGTCCAGTCCTGGATATACGCAGCTCAGTGGTGGCTCACTGGACCAACGGAACGGTTGACATCGAGCCTAGAGGGTATTCAGGCCGTTTGTCTGCTTCTTCTCGCCCGTCAGATGGGAGACCTGGGACCGTCTATCTGGCTGTCACCGGGGTCTCTTCTGCAGGCGGCTACGGCCATGGGCCTGCATCTGGACTCTGCCAGATTTCCCAGCCTGTCACCCTACATGGCCGAAATGCGTGCACGTCTATGGACAACCGTTCTAGAGCTCACAATCCAATGCTCCCTGGACACCGCTGTACCACTGATCATCCCCGCTTCATCTGACAGCAAACCCCCTTGCAACCTTAACGACAAGGACCTTGACCCTGACATGAAACAACCAACCACAGCCCGACCCATGTCCGACCTGACAGACTCCTCCATCCAATTGCTGCTTCATGAATCCTTCTCCCTCCGCGCTGAAGCCGTCAACCTCATTCATGACCGTTCAAAACTCACGTACACCCAAGCCATTCAGCTGGGAACCAAGCTCCGTGATGTCTGCCAAACCCTAACTAGTTTCTTCTCCTCCCATGCTCCGTCTCCCACCACCCCTCAGCATCAAAATCAACATCAGTCCAAGCACACAAACAGCGACCTCCATCCGGCCTCCTTCCACCAGAAATTCCTCGACATGATCCTCCGCCGATACATCCTCCTCCTCCACCTCCCATTCATGCGCGAAGCAGCCACCAACCCCCAGTATCATTTCTCGCGCAAAGTCTGCCTCGAATCCGCCATGATCATCGCATCCTACGCCAGCACCCTGACTCTCCCCGTTACCACGGACCTCGACGCCTTCGCCCGTCTCCTCATCGCCGGCCGCGGCTCGTTCCGTGGCCCCTTAAGTCTGGAACTCTTCTCCGTCCTCGGACTAGAAGTGATTACCCAACTCGACGAATCCCCTCCACCACCACCTCCTCCTCCTCCTCCGCAGCCCCCCGCCTCCGCCCCGACCTTGACAGCAACAGCAATGACCCGAAACCCCCTCGCCGAGCTCGCCCGCGCCACCCGGGCCCCCCTGATCCGAACCCTCGAGCACATCCGCGACCAGATCTTCCAGATCATCCGTCTCGGTACCCCGAGTCTCAAACGCTGTATCGTCCTCTCGGCGATGTTGGCGCAGATCCGCGCCATGGAGACGGGCGACTCCGTCGAGGAGGCCGTCGGCGCGTCGCTGGTCCTCAGCCTGAAGGAGTGCTATGCTGCGTTGCAGAGCTTTGCGGCGGCGACGGCGCACGGAGAAGGGGAGGTTGCGGAGGTTGCGGCTATGATGACGGGAACGACGGCGGTGGGGTCAAGCCTGGGAAGTCCGTCCGGGCTGCCCGGGTTGGAGTTGAATGCTGTAAGTTTCGTTTGGTTTCTTGCTGGTGGTGGTGCTGGGTGGTGGTGCTGGGTGGTGAGAGGGAAGGGAGGGCAACGCTGGGTGTGTTTGGAAGCTAAAGCTAATTGCGGGTTTGTGTAGGATCTTGATCTTGATATCGCGAGTTTGTTCTATGCGTCTGGGTTGGGAGATCTTGAGGATCTCGGGTTCTAGATTGTTCGGATACCCGGAGAGCATATGTGGTGTGGGGTGAGGAAGGGGGAATGTGTGACGGCGTATGAGCTGGTACTCTACGTTGGTCTGCCTGGAACTTGAAGCGAGTAGCAAGGCCCCAAACTGGAAGGAACGCTGCTCCTGGGGCGAGAACGAGCCGTCCCTTTCTGGAAGGAAGAGAAGAGAGGAATACAGCCCTCAATCTTCGTGGAAATTAAGATTTATGTAAAGTAACTGCAACGACCAGTTGGCGCTTGAAGAATTAGATAATGTCTGGTTTTCATGTGGACCATGCGTGCCTGTCGTGGTACGATAGTGTTCCTTCGCGTTTCGTGCTTCATCCTTGCATCCGGACAATCTACAAGGTCGGTAGCGATGGGTCACTCGCTCGTGATGCACCATCCTCAAACCCAACCAGAATACTGGTCTAAGCCTTCATTCTGCACTCCAGCTGAACCGTGCCGGACGCCAAGCAGCCGGACGG